TCCGTGAAAAATTTCAAACTTCTGTAAAATTGGATAGAAAAATATAATAAATCCCTGTGTAAGCATCACATAGCATTAACAATTATTCACTCACGGCCAGTTTTGTTTCTTCTGTTGTTACTCACGTCCTCCTCCTCTAGTATTATTTGGAAGCAAACCCCTGTATCATTTTATCCGTATTTTAGTAGGCATTTCTAGGTGATAACTCTTTTCAAATACAACCTTGATGTTATATCTCAAAAATAATAACACTATTTCCTTAATGTTATCAGATGCCCAGTTACTAGTAAATTTTCTAATTCCCTCAGAAATGGTTTTCTTATGGTGGATTGTTTGAAAGAGGATCCAAATAAGGTGACGGACACACTGCGATAGTCTGATAATGGGCTATAGCTTCCCTTCCATGTCTTTTTTCCCCCCATGGAATTTATTTGCTGAAGACACTGAGTCATTTGTCCTGCAGAGTTTCCCATAGATTGTATTTTACTATTTATATCACTGTGGTGATATATCAATGTAGTGATATTCTAAGATGTTTTTCTGTCCTATGCATTTCTTGTGAATGAGTGTCAAAGGCTTGATTAGACTCCAGCGTTTTGCTTTGGGTCCAGCGTTTTTCATAAGATGATGGTATGGTTTTCCATCAGGAGGCACCTAATGTCTCATTGTCTTTTAATTTAGTGATGTTAGCAGTTGATGATCAATCAGTGCCTCTTTCCATTTTAGGGGCTGCAATTTGGTTATCCAGTGGTCGGTTTGTATAGGAAAAGCACATTAAATACTTGCCTTTTTCCTTTTATTTACCTACTTTCAACACAAAGTTTGGTTCACTGGCATCTTCCAACAATAACAAAGTAATAAAAACCAAAATGTTATTAGGTATCTTTAGGATCTCGTGGATTTAGACATATTTGACACTGCTTCAGGTGCACTGAGTTATGCTAACTGATGCACAGTGTCCCATCCTCAGCCAGCAGAAGCTGCCTCAGGTTGGCTCCTGGGTCCCTCAGACATAGTCATAGATAGAGAGCTGCTTCCTTGCTTTCTGCTGCGACAACCTGTTCTAAGCCTTTCTTACACATTCCCTGTCCCAGACCAGGACTGAGCTGTTTCTCCAAGGAGCATTGATGTTTTTAGCAGGAAATGGTATTTGCAGACCACAGCCTGGCACTCAAGTTGCTTACTGCTCATGGGTTGGTCATTGTGTCTTTGTCTTTTTGGGGCACAGAACTAGGAAATAAACACACATACACATACATACAGACAGACATATGTATGTCTAAAGTTAAAACACGTGATGACTTCTTATTGATAACCTCGAATTCATATTCAGGACTATTTGGTTTACGTGGTCTTATATCTCTTTCTCTCACATCAAGAATGCCAGTTCTCAACACCACCAGGGATGATAGAGCATTCCATAATTACTGATTTATTTTACCTCACACTGCATTCGGACATTCTCACTGCAACAGCACACCAGTATAATTAGTGGAAAAAAGCTCGAGATATTTTTTACAACACTTCATTGTTTTTAGAGTATCTCCTACCAGAAATGTAGGCTCAAATTTCTGAATTTTTAAAATCACTTGGAATAGGTCCTTTCTGTGTAGTTATGCCAACAACTAATATAAATATACCTTCATTTGTTTTATTTTACTTTGGTGGGGGGTGGCAGTTGCTTTTTAAATTTAAATTTTATTTTAAATTATATAAAATATATGGTTTCACAGTCAAATCTACAAAACAAGGTATATTCAAAGAATTCTAGCCTCTATCCCCAACCTCTTAACCATGTTCCTGCTTATCGCTCTTCCCCATAGGTAGCCACTTTTTAAAATCAGATGGTTTATCCTTCCATTGTTTGTTTAATATTTGTGTGTGTATATGCATCACTGATTTCTTATATAAATGACAGTATACTGTATACACCATATCCTGGAGATGACCCCACAGTTGTGGGTAAGATAGATTCCTCATTCCTTTTACTGTTACCTAGTACCTCACTGTGTGACTGTATCATAGTCTGTTCAGACAGTCTTCTGTTGAGGGACATTTTCATTTTCCAGTCTTTTCCTATTACAGGCAGTTTTGCAATGAATAGCCTTGTGCATATGTCTTTTTGCGCTTTTATCAAAGTGTCTTTGGGATAGTTTCCTAGAAGTGGGATTGCTGGTCAAAGAATAAAATGCTCATATAAGTTTGTTAGATATTGCCAGATTTCCTTCCTTGTGCCATTTTACATTTATATCCTTACCAACAATGTTTGAGAGGACCTGGTTCTCCACAGAAGTACATGCCAACAGGTATATGTCATCAGACTTACAGGGTTTTGCCAAATCTATCAGTGAGATACGGTATCTCCATGTAGTCTGGACTTCTCTTACTATAAGATAGGGCTATTTTTTTTAATACCATCTTTCAGGTCCTAGGGATGGAGCCCAGGCATTTTATTATTAAGAAGCTGTTCCTTCGGTTCTTTGGCACAAGCAGAACCCAGAACCATTGAGGCATAGTGTTTGAAAAGATCGAGCACAGAGGCTGGTGTGAGATTGATCTTCATCAGGATGAGTAGCTTTGCAGTGTTAAGTGTGAGCACTTGAAAGGCAGCACAAAATCTGGAGCTGGAGAAACCTGGGTTCCAACCCCAGCTCCACACTCACCAGCACTTGACCTTGTGAAATATACTTAAATTCTGAGCTTCTTTTGACTCTTCTGTAAAATGGGAATAATCATAGCACCTACTTTTATAGGGTTGATGCAAGATTCAAATAGTGGAGTGCTTGGCAGAGTGTAAGGGCTTAAGAAATATTATTATTATTATTATTATTATTATTATTTGAGTGAAGAGAATTATTAGGGCTTTGGAACTTGTAGATCATTATGCTCTATAAAATTATTAATCCCTCCCATAAAATGAACTTAATACTAATGTAAGAGGGGCACCTGGGTGGCTTAGTCGGTTAAGCGTCTGACTCTAGATTTCAGCTCAGGCCTTGATCTCATGGTTCGTGAGCTTGAGCCCCATGCTGGACTCTATACTCTATAGTCTGCTTGGGATTTCTCCCTCTCCTTCTCTCACTGCGTCTCCCCTGCTCGTGCTCTCGTGGGCACACATGCTCTCTCTCTCTCAAAATAAATAAACTAAAAAAAAAAAAATACTAATGTAAGAAAGAAGACAATTAGAATTCAGGGGAGAGAATAGGAAGAAGCGTTAAGTATGGAGAGGACCTGAAACCAACCTCATGAGGCCAAGCGCCTCCAGAGGACAGAGGGGAAGTCACATCTGAGCTCCCTGTGCCCTCACTGGATGTGGCCTTCGCTGTTGCCAGCCTGCACGGCAGGGCGGTGTGTTAGAAAACTCAGTGAAATGGAAGCTTGTGTAGCTGCTCAGCCCTGACCTGCTCCCCCAGCTGTGGGCCTGAAGGAGACGCCAGTGAGGGGCAGCACGCCCTTGGTTACACTCTGCAGCTGGTCAGCCTCTCACAGCCCCTGGACCGCCGCCCCCCCCCCCCATGTGGTCCTTTCCGCCCTGGTCTCGGACAGTTCATTTCCTAATGAACTTCCAGCCCCTAAGCCCCACTCACACTTGCCTGGGACTGGGGAGGGAAAGGGAGGGCTGCAGGCCTATCAACACAGTGGGCTTTCTCTTTGTTTTCCCTTTCAAGTGTGCTAAAGGGTCAGCTCATTATTAATATGAATCTTCTTAGTAAACTCAGTCTTTAGACTTTTATTCATATGGTCTACTCGGTTTTGGTTTGCTCTGTACTTTGCTTCTTTTATTTCTGCTTTGGTAATGAGCAGTCCCACATTCTTATTTCTTTGGGTTGATTTTTATTCTTTCTTTAGATTTTGGAGTGAAAATTAGGTTCTTTTAGTTTCACTGTTTTATTTTCTACTAAATGCATTTAAGGCATTTATTTATGCTCAATTCTAAATGTTGTATGGTTCTATTCGAATTCCTTTTTAGGTATGAGTAGCCTGGAAGTATGTTTTTATAAATTATCATAGGTATGGGAGGTTTTTGGCTATGATTTGCGTTATCAATTTCTAATTGTATTGCACTCTACTTAGTGAATGTGACGTCTAAGACATCATGTTTGGGGAAACTCATGAGAACCTATTTTATAGCCTAAGTCATGATCTTTTTTTTATCAGTGTTTTACATATGCTTTTAAAAAATGAGTATTCTGTTTGCTGGGTGCTGAGTTCTTAAAATAGTAGTTAGCTCGAGTTGGGTAACTGTGTTGTTCAGATCCCCATCAGCTGCACTGCCTTGTGAAGCTCTCATCAAAGCCAGTGAGCTCTGCCAGGGCCCAAGACACGGAAATGTCCGTTTAGGGCTTTTTGTTTGGTGTGCCTCACAAAACATCCCCAGGCCAAGGAAGACCATGGCTCTTTGTGTTTGCAAGTAAGGTTAAATTTGCTGGAGTCTGAATTCTTGTAGTCCCAGCTTAATGAGCTTATAAAACCTAGGCCCTGGATTCAGGTTGATAATCATGGCTGTTTCCCTCATGGGTATTTGTGCTGTGTGGTTATTTAGGAGTGAAACGGATACATATCCTCCCGAAGACCAGAGCTGGGGGCTGGCCGAGGCCCACGTCTAGCATCAGGCACTATGTGAGGCCCTTTGCCCTTAGCGTGGTTGTGTGGGTGCTACATATAGTTGCTCTGAGTCTTGGTTCTTCATCAGTCACGTGGCTGCCTTACCACCTGCCATGTTGACCACAGAGGGTTGTGGTGAGGCTTAGTCCAGACAATAGACATAAAAAAGTACCCTGTAAACTGTAAAGAGATCCTCAAATATCAGGCATGGGTTGCAGGCACCTTGTGAAGAGGTAGCAAGTGGAAGTGGTCTCAATGCATGTAAATAAACCCCCTTTGTTCTTTGGAAGGAGGCTGAACCGGGTGAGACTGTTCTCACCTCCGACACCCCTGACACCCCTGCACCCCTGACATTCCTGACATTCTCCACCCTATCTTCTCTCCCTTTCCTTCAGTGCAGAATACACAAACTGCAGCCATGACCACCCACGTCACCCTGGAAGATGCCCTGTCCAACGTGGACCTGCTGGAAGAGCTGCCCCTCCCCGACCAGCAGCCATGCATCGAGCCACCACCTTCCTCCATCATGTACCAGGTCAGTCTCCCAGAGCACCGGGGAGTTCAGAACTCCGGATCCCCTCGGTGGGTGTGCCCTGAAGGCATAGGGAAGGGGGAGATCTGCATCTGGAAGGTGAGAGGTCCTGAGCTGATGGAGTCCCTTGTGCCCTGGTGGAGCTGAGTATGAGGAATAGATTAGCTAGTAAACGAATACCAGGACTATCTCTCCTCCCCAGGGAAGGCTTGTTGATCTGCTCTGACCCCAAATACCTTCCCGGCTGTTCTTGCTGAAGCATCAACCAAGGTTTTGGCAGCTCTGATCTCATGAATTAAATATTACAATTTAGAAACCTCTAGAGCCTGCCTGGGTAATTACTTTTCCTTCATGTATGTGAGAAGAGCTCTTCAGCTCCCCACAGCAGCTAATGGCTCAGGGAAGTCGCTCACCATTGTTTGCTTTTGCCTGAGAGAGGGGAGCTTGAGATAAACTATATCAGATTGTTCAAAACCGTAACCCCCCAGGGTGAGACTGGAAGGGCATCAGGGGAGCCAGAGTGAGCCTTGCAAATAGCCCCTTGTCTGGGCATGCTGGGCGAGTATGCCACGTTAGGAAAGAACAAGTTAATATAAAATTTTTAGCTGTGTTTGACCTTTTCTAAGTTCTGGGGCTGCTAAATGAGACTAAATATGAATGCATAATATATTTGTAATTTCATTCAGTAGTTAGATTTTATCAAGCACATTCCTAAAGGTTCAAGTTACAAACTTGGCTCGTTCACGTCTTCTAACCCAGGTTAAATTTTTAATTATGTGCATGTCTTTTTATTACAAGCAATACAGAAAAGTATAACAAATAAAAATTTCCCTCTATGACTATACACACACACACAGCCCTTTTTACTGTACTTATAAGTACATATTATGTATAGATCTAGATGTTTTTAACCAAAAGGGAACCATACTGTAGATAATTGCTCTGTGGTTTGGCTTTTTGAACTTGAAATCTATTATGGATACTTTTCCATAACAGTACTACAATGCTATCATTTTGTTTTTAACCACCACATAGTACTTATAAGTGCATCGTACAGATATACTATTATTGATTTAGCCTTTTGCTGTTAATGGATGTTGGGATGGTTTCCAGTTTTTTCTATCAGAAAAAAAAATGTTGCAGTTACTATCCTTGTATGTACGTATCTGCAGCCTCAGGTAACTATTTTGGCAACTGCTGGATGAAAACAATGCGCATCTTAACTTTTCACAGCTCTTTAGGATTATGTAGTTTAAGCATTTGCTTCCAAGCCTCAGCTGGGTGAATCTGGTTAACTACCAATGGGAAGAAGCAGATCCGGGCCCTGTTTAGCCAGCTCCTGCCCAGTGTGAGTCAGAGTTGGATTTTCTCAGGGGAAGATCAAAGCATGATGTAGAGATAGGTTTCCACAGAGTCTGGTGGCATTTTTTGGCGGTGGGGTTCCCTGGACACCCAGCCGCCTTGGACTTGTTTTCCAACCAACAAATGTTTCTTCCTCTAATTCCTACAGGCTAACTTTGACACAAACTTTGAGGACAGGAATGCATTTGTCACAGGAATTGCAAGGTACATTGAGCAGGCTACGGTCCATTCCAGCATGGTAAGTCGCTGTGACCCTGCCAGCACAGGAGGGGCAAGTGCTCAGCTATTCCGAGAGCTGCCTGCCTCAGTCAGACCCTTCTCCAGAAGCCTGTTCCCCTGCGCTTCCCCACCCCCTCCCAGTGCCTGGGGCACAATGTTCCCCTGTCTTCTAACCTTGCAAATCCTGCTCACAGGAGGGCCCAATTTGATCCCACTCCATCCCTGAACTTCTGTAGCTTTTTGAATTAGCTTATCATTAGATCTTGCCTTACCTTATACTTTATAGATTACTGGCTGTGTGGCAGTTTGTCTCTTGACCAAAGCAAAAGGTTTCTCAAAAGAGAGAGAGAGAGAGAGAGAGAGAGAGAGAGAGAGAGAGAGAGAGAGATGGTGTCTGTAGAATAACATTGACTCAAGGAAGGTGGTGGCCTAAATCATTCACAAGCGGCATCAATGGTCTGATGGGTCCGTATGTGACCCATCTGTGAGGGATCACTCACTTCCCTCTTGGGCTTTCATTGATTTTATTCTAACACAGCACCAGAATTTGAAGAATTCCAGAATCCTCATGCAGCTCAGTGGACCTCTCTCACTGTATCAGTTATATGCTAAAGTCGTGCCTGACCATACCCAGCCCCATTCGTTCAACAAATATTGTGCACCTGGTACCTACAGAGACTGTGCTAAATGAGGGGATATGCAAGGTCAGAGAGGGGCCAGTCTTGATTCTCAATGAGGCAAGTGGGAAATAGACAAGTTTACCATTTATTGAACACTTTCTGTGCAGATATTTTATTTACATTTTTTAAATTCCAGTGTAGATAACATACGGTGTTATATTAGTTTCAAGTGTACAATGTAGTGATTCAGCAGTTCTGCATATTACCCAGCATTCCTCATACGTGTGCTTTTAATCTCCTTCTCCTATTTCATCCACCCTCCCGAGCATCTCCTCTCTGCTAACTATCAGTTTGCTCTCTATAGTTACGAGTCTCTTTTTTGGCTTCTCTCTTTTTTTTCCTTTGTTCATTTGTTTTATTTCTTAAATTCCACAAATAAATGAAATCATATGGTATTTGTCTTTCTCTGACTTATTTTACTTAGTAGTATTCTCCCTAGATCCATCCATGGCAAGATTACAAATGGCAAGATTTTGTTCTTTTTTGTTTTTAAAGATTTATTTTGTTTTGAGAGAGAGAGGGAGGGAGAGCGAGCATGAGTCGGGGGAGGGACAGAGCGGGGGAGGGACAGAGCGGGGGGACTGAGCATGGAGCCTGACACGGGGCTCAATCCCATGACCCTGGAATCATGACCTGAGCCAAAATCAAGAGTGGGATGCTCAACCAACTGAGCCACCCAGGTGCCCCTTTTTGTTTTTTATGGCTGAATAATATTCCTTGTCAGTGTGTGTTTGTGTGTGTGTGTACACATGCCACATTTTATCCATTCATCTATCAATGGACACTTAAGTTGCTTCCATATTTTGGCTATTGTAAATAATGCTGCAATAAATTTATGGAGGTGTATATATCCTTTGGAATTATTGTCCTCATATTCTTTGGGAAAATACCCAGCAGTGTGATTACTGGATCATATAGTATTTCTTTTTTTGATTTTGTCTTCCACAGTGGCTGCACCAGTTTGCATTCCCACCAACAGTCCATGAGGGTTCCTTTTTCTTCACATCTTCACCAACACTTGTTGTTTCTTGTGTTTTTGATTTTAGCCATTCTGACAGGTGTGAGGTGATATCTCATTGTGGTTTTAATTTGCATTTCCTTGATGATCCGTGAGGTTGAGCATCTTTTCATGTGTCTGTTGGCCATCTGTATGTCTTCTTTGGAGAAATGTCTGTTCATGTCTTCTCTGTGCAGATATTTTAAATGCACTGTTTGAATTAGTTCTCACCCCACTCTGTGAGACAAGTTTTATTACAATATCCATTTTACAAACAGGAAAAGCTAAAATTCAGAAAAGTTAAGTAACTTACTCAAGGTCCTGCCACTAACAAGTGGCATTGCCAAATGCAGGTCTGTCTGTCTACAAAACCTGTGCTCTAGATTAGTCTGTGTAGACAAATAGAAATGCACAAAGTTAAAGGTAAATGATACGGTAGAAGTTCCAACCTGTCTGTTTTTGAAGGGTCCTTGAGAGGGTCAGAGAAAGCTTGATGAAGGAAGGGGCTTTTGAGTAGGCCTTGTATACTCTATGCACACACACACACACAAAGTGCACACACACATATGTTAACCATACACGTGATTTAAAATGTATAAGATATTCTCATACATAGTATCATTGGAGCCTTACAACAGTCTATGACTTGCAAAGGGAGCATTTATATTCAGTTTTGAGATGAAAAAAACAGACCTAGGGAAGTTAACAAGCTCATGATCCCGCAACTAGTAAATCACAGGATTGAAACTAGAATTCAAGACTTAGGATTCCCAGTCTGATGTCCTTCCATGCAACTCTGCTGTCCCACATAGTTAGAGGTTTCTCTGTGAGAGATGAGATAGGAAGGGCACACTAGGTTATGGAACCAGCATGAGCAAAGGCACAGAGACAAAAATGTTCAGAGATTTCCTGGGTTAGGGTTTCTCTTTGTGTGCACATGCATGCTATCTCTTTCTGTATCCAAATTTCCTTTTCTGGGCTACACACTGGAATTGCCTCGAGAGCATTAAAAAAAATACCAGTGCCTGGGCCCCTACCCTGGGAATAATGATGTAGTTCTGGTGGGGTATGACCTGGGAATCAGGATTTCAAAGTTCTCCAGGTGACTAATTGCAGCCAGGTGATTTAGGCCAACCCTTTACCTGTAAATGAGAGATCGGTGCCATTTTCAAGGCAAAAGGTGAACCCAAGCAGAGCCAGGACCAGAACTTAAGTCTCCTGAGGCCCCACTTAGGGCTCTTTCTACCACAGCATCCTGACCTCTGTACTCCAGGCATACACGTCTGGTTGATGGTCACCTGAACTATTCATAGGGAGCCTTGTTTGCTGCCTTGTTCCCAGCACATAGCACAGAGCCTGGGACCTGCGGGTGCTCAGTAAAGCACTCAGTGAGTGAAAGTTGGAATCCTCACCCTGCTGGTGGGCAATTTGGTTCTAATAAGTAAATACATGTTCCCTGTGTTACTGTCATTTCCCTTTTTTGACATCTGTTCTGAAGCAAGAGCAGTAGCAGACCCGCAGGCTTGATCTTGGTTTTCTTTGGTCTCAAGGACAACGTGTTATTGATTTTTAAAGTTCTCCAAATTAAGAATTGAAAGTATGACTCATCAGTGACATTTGCTGTTGAAAACAAAACTACAGTAAGTAATAAACTCCAAATTAAATCTGATCTTGCGCTAGGGAGATGTTATGAAATAGATGCGATACATGGAATAAAAAAATCAGTAAAGGTTCATTTTCATATCAGTGTGAACATTTACAAGAGAGCTGGTCTAGTAATACTTCTTTATTTCTTTTGTGAACGTCATATAGCGTAAAATTCACAATGTCACATAACTGTCACCACCATTTAATTTCTGCAGCATTAAAAGAAACCCCAGGCCCATTAGCAGTCTCTCCCAATTCCTGTCTCTCCCCAGCCCCTGGCAAACACCACTCTACTTTCTCTTGTCTGTTCTGAGCATTTCATCTAAACGGGTCATGACACATGTGGCCTTCTATGGCTGGCATGATGTTTTCAGAGTTGATCCGTGCTGTGGCACGGATAGGCTCTTCACTCCTGTTTATAGACAAACACTGTTCCCTTGTGTGGCTGTACCACATCTCCACGTTTTATTTATCCAGGCATCGGTGAATGGACATTTGGGTTGTTGCCCCTTCTTGATGGTTAGGACAATGCTGCCACGAACAAATGTGCAAGTTTCTGTGTAGATATGGGAGCGCCTGGGTGGCTCAGTCGGTTGAGTGTCTGACTCTTGATTTCTGCTCAGGTCATGATCTCATGGTCGTGGGACCTAGCCCCACGTCAAGCTTTTTGCTGATAGTGAGGAGCCTACTTGGGATTCTCTCTCTCCCTCTCTCTGCACTCCTCCCCTGTTGGCATGTTCTCTCTCTCTCTCTCTCTCTCTCTCTCTCTCTCTCACACACACACACAATAAATAAACTGTAAAAAAATAAAAAGTTTCTGTGTGGACCTATGTTTTCATTTGTCTTGACTATGTGTACCTAGGAATAGAATTGCAGTCATATTGTAACTCTGTATTTAACTCTTTGAGAAACTGCCCGACTGTCTTTTTCCTAGTAATACTCTCACCTCCCTTTACAGATCACCTAGAGAGAGAGAGAGAGAGAGAGAGAGAGAGAGAGAGTTCCACTGAATTCTCATAAAATTCTCAGAGGTCATTTTTGTCATTGTCATTAAACAGATACTAAATGGAGAATTTTAGGTTAAGTGATTTCTTGAAGATCAAAGGGAAGGGCTAACAAATGAGGAAGCTGAGATTTGAGCCCAGATATTTGGACCCTGAGTTTAAGACTCTTAGCACTTGCTAGGTGAGGTGAGTCATCGCTGTATTTTTCAGATTCGTTTTCCATGCTGTTATTGGTTTTGCCATCTGCCGTACATTATTTTTAAAAGTTTATCTTACTCATTTTCTTGCTTCTGAAATAGTAGCAAGCGTTCTTATAAAAGGGCAAAGAGTACTCTATAATACGAAAAATGAAAGCCCCCGTTGATCCAGCCCCACAGACAGCTTGCTATTCCCAGCTTGGGGCGTATTGCACCCAAATATTTGTCAGTACACAACAACATACTTTCATAATTATTGCTCTTTGTTTGGTTTTTGAACCTATCTGCCGTCCACACTGTTTTGCTACTTGCTTTTTTCTGGCTAACAGTATGCCTGATACAACTTTTGCTTTTGGCACAAACAGACCTGCCTTCTTCTTTCTCATGTGGCCATCCGTCTTGGAAAGATGTGGCCTGCTGCTAGAGCCCTTGGATGTCTGAGGAGGATAATTTAGGCCAGGGCTTCTCAAGCTCAGTTGAGCACCTTGGGAGTAGGAGTCACCTGGGAGTTTGGTTGAAATGCAGATTCGGATTCCATAGGCCCAGCCGGGGACCCAAGACTCTCTGCATTTCTACTAAGCTTCCCAGGTCGTGCTGTGTGGATGCTGCTGGTCCCCAGACCACTGTGAGTCGTGAGGATCTGGGGCACCGTGAAGGAGCCTGCTGGCTCCAGTGCATGTGGTTTCTCCCTGCCGAGTGTGTTTTGCTTTTCAGAATGAAATGCTGGAGGAAGGACATGAGTATGCAGTCATGCTGTATACCTGGCGCAGCTGTTCCCGGGCCATCCCCCAGGTGAGACCGTCCTCGCCGGGTGCCCTCCGGCCCTCCACCTCACCCCCTCCCAGACAGCTGAGCCTCTCCAGATGGCAGGGAAGGAAGCAGGGCCTCTTACCCAAGGGTGCTTGCTCACGACATCTGGAGCGCTTCCCATGAGACTGAAGACAACTTAAAAAATATCAGTTCAGGGCACCTGGGTGGCTCAGTCGGTTAAGCGTCCGACTTTGGCCCAGGTCATGACCTCGCGCTCACAGGATGGAGCCCCACGCCAGGCTCCGTGCTGACAGCGTAGCACGGGATTCTGTCTCTCCCTCTTTCTCTGCCTCTCCTCTTCTCATTCTGTCTCTCTCAAAATAAATAAATAAACCTAAAAATTTGTCCATTACTTCAAAAGCAGTATGTGCTACCTGTATGACACCCAGACCATTGCAGAAAGAGATAAAGTAAAAAGCAAGATGTCCCCACCTCCTGACCCCCACTACCTGGACCCACCTCCCACCAAAGCATAGTCACCATGCATACCTTGCTGCGTGGATCTTTTCCCTTGAATATCATAAATGTCCCTATGAATATTATTTTGGAAATTATCATTTATAAAAGTGTGTTTTGTATTTGTATTGTCCTGCCACTTGCTTTTTCCACCTAATTCTTTATCACTTTTTCATGTTGACTCATACAGATATTACATTTACTATAATTACCATCATCCTATAATTCATGGGCCCCATTATTATAACAAGGTTAACAAACCACAGGTGTGTAAAGTAAACAGAAACTATTCCTCTCTCTTCCCCTTAATCGTAGCCCCCAGAGTTAACTGCTTATTAACAGTTTGCTTTGAACTCTTAGATGCCCTATGCCTGTATTATATATGGACACACAAACACACGCAGTTTTGTTCTGTGTTTTGTTTGAAAAAAATGGGATTGAATTACACTTCATGTCCTGCAAGTTTTTCACCCGTCAGTTTATGGTAGTAATCTTTCCATGTCAGTTCTCGTAGATCTATCTCATTCCTTCTAGCAGCTTTATAATGATACTGTATGAATGCATCGTACTGTATCCATTTAATCATTGACTGGTAGATATTTAACTTATTGCTACCATTTTAAGAATTTCTAAGCAACAATGTGAAGAATGTCCTTGCGCTTATCTTTTGCTCACTCTTGTTTCAGTTGACCAGTTAGCAGTCTCGGGTGTGCATGCTGTGAAAACATCTGCCATGTGATACTGATGTGTTGAAAACCACTGGGCAAAGAAAAGGGGTTTCTTGATGGAGCCAAGTTTGGCCAGGGGGCCTCACCCCGGGTGCATCTGGAACAGTGGCTGGAACATTTTTCTCTGCTTAGAACCTGGTGGGGCTCCACTGGGGTAGGAGTGGGGAAAGACTGAAGGAAGGAGACCGTGCAGATCGATGTAGGCGTGTGTACAGCTCGAGGCCAGGGCACTGAACAGATTGAAGGGAAGGAGGGTTCCGTTCTCAGGACCAGCTGGTTTCTTGCCTGCAGCCAGTGTCTGGCAGGCAGTTCTGTTCCTCCAAGCCATACCCGACAGTCAGGGCTACCCCGGCCTCTGCTCACTAGGGTGACCACCGCATTTATCATCCTAAACGAGATGCCTATGAGAGTGCAGACGGGCCCTGATAATAAGACAACAGACGTGAACCAGAGCTGCCTTGGCAAGGCAGGATGTGTGAGCTCCTCTCTCCCCACAGGTGAAATGCAATGAGCAGCCCAACCGGGTTGAGATCTATGAGAAGACAGTAGAGGTGCTGGAGCCAGAGGTCACCAAGCTCATGAAGTTCATGTACTTTCAGGTGAGGGGTAAGGGTGGGTCTGAATCAGGGGACCTGAGAGGGCCTCACTCTGCCAGATGCTGGGGTCTGGATTTTTGAGCCATGGTATTCATTCCTTGAGCAAATACTTCTGGAGCACCCCTGACGTGCCCCTTGGTGAGCAAGGCAAACAAGCCTCCCTCTCTCCCTGTGATTTACATCCTAGTGAGCACATGAGTGTGTTTCAGGTAGAAGGAGAGACTGACAGTAAACAATATTCAGTCCTTTTCAGGGTGTAGTAAGTGCTGTGAGTAAATAAAACTGAAACATAATAACTCTGGGGTGCAGGGTATCTGTGACATAGTGCAGCTTTAGGGATGGGCTGTCAGGAGTGGCATTTGAACGCGTGTATCGTGAGAAAGAAGCTGGCGGGTGATGATTGGAGGGAGAGGGTTTCACGTGGAAGGAACAACAAAGGTAAAGGTCCTGGGGCCTGTAGGAGCACAGCATGTTTAACAAATAGAATGAAACCAGGGAAACTGCAGATTGAGAAGGGACGGGTGACAAAGGTGATGGGGGGAGGTAGACAGGCCCTTACAGGGCACTGTGGACCAGGAAGTAGGACATAAAAAGAATATGTGGATTTTACTCGAGCACCATGGAAGCCACTGGGGGTGTCTTGTGACATGTTCTGATTTGAGGTTTTACAGCAGCATTCTGGCTGCTGTGTGGAAAATGGATGGGAGGTGGGTGGGGGTGGAGGGGAGAGAAGAGTGACAGCAGGGAGACCAGCTGGGAAGCCAGGAAGAACTATCATTTAAGGAAGAAAAGAGAAAAGAGAGCTAAGGGCCTCCACGAATGGAAGGTAAGAGGGCAAGCTGCTTAAACAGAAGTGGCAAAGGGAAAATCCTGCAGGCAGGTTGATTGTCATGGTTGTGTCAGGAATGCAGGATGAACGCTTCAAGACCAGTCTGTACCCTGGGGCGGGAGTCCCGCCACACACTCCATGCATACACATGCTCTGCTGTCGAGCTGAGCTTCGCAAATAGACTTGCAAGCACTGGCCGCATGTCTGCCCTGCGCCCAGCTCTGCCCAGGCCAGAATGGGAGATGGGAATGTCTGGGGGAGGTGCAGGTGCATGCCATCTAGGCCAGGAGGGCCGGCTTCCCAGGCAGAGAAACCCAAGGTTCTACTGTCCTGTCCTTATGTGCCTGTGAGTTATTTAACATCTGGCACCTTCAGTTCTCTCGCCTTGGAAATCATGCCGAATCTCAGGTTTGCGGTGAGGATAAATGAGGTCTGTTTGTAAAGAGCCAAGTAGATCTCTGGTTACAGAGCCAGTTTATCAAATGGCAGCTGCTGTTACTGGCACCCTGGACCTGCCCCTAGGAGCCTAATCTCTTTGGGAAGGCAGGTCCAAGAGAGAAAAAAACTACCCAGAGACTGATTAAGTGCTTAACTAAGGGTTAAGGGTCTTAACTAAGGGTCTTCTGATGAGATATTTAGAAGGGAGGATCTGCAGTAATTTAGAACTATGCTGTTCAACACAGGAGCCATTAGCCATATGGACTCTCTACATTAAAACTAAATAAAATTTAAAATTCCATTCCCCCATTGCACCAGCCATTCCATGCTCAGTAGCGTGTGAGTGACTCCTGTGTTGGACAGTGCAGATATGGAACATTCCCATCATGACAAAAAGTATTATTGGACCTAGACCCTGGAAGGAGCAAGTGTGGCTTGGTCTGCACTTTGGAGGAAAGGAATGATTGGCGGGTAGCGTGTACCAAATCTGTGGAGTGAAGCTCACGGGAATTTCCCCCCTTCCCTCTCCTCCCCCTCCTTTCCTTCCTCCACCTCCTCCTCTCTCTGTCTCTCTCTGAATTGCTGCGTTAGCCATTTTTTGTTATTGATCAGCTGCCTTTTTTGGTAACAGATTTTTTTAGGTACAATTTACCTACCATACAATTTATCCACTTAAATTGGACAATTCAACAACTTTTATTAGTATATTCACAGAGTTGTGTATCCACCACCACAATCAACTTGAGAACATTCTCACTTCAACAAGAAATCCCATAACCCTTTTGCCACCACCCATTACACCCTCCGTGTGCCCCCCACCTCCAGCTCTAGGTAACCACTAATCTATCTTGTGTCCCTATGGATTTGCCTGTTCTGGACATCGCATATAAATGGAATCATACGATATGTGACCTTTGGTGACAGACTTTCACTTTGCACGCTGTTTTCAAGATCCATCCATCTTGTAGCACATACCAAAATGTGTGATCAAACACTGTTCTGTATGGATCTACCACATTTTATTTATGTATTTATTAGTTATAGACATTTAGGTTATATCCACTTTGGGGCTGTTACAAACAATGCTGCTGTAAATATCCATGCATACATTTTTGAGAGGACATATTTTCATTTCTCTGTTCTCTATAACGATTCTCCCTGCTTCTACCTTTGCCCCCTACAATGTATTCGCACTGCAACAGCTACCGTTTTAAAATACAATTCATACCATGTTATCCTGTTTCAGAACCCTCCCACTTCTCCTTGACTCCTTCAATGTAGAAATCCTACCCCTCACAAAGGCCTGCAAGAGCCAGTGGCCCTGGTCCCTCTCCATCTCCAGTTTCTTCCTTCTGCTCACTCCACTTCAACCACTGGCTTTCTCATCCTTCAAACATGCCAGGCACACGCCTGCCTCAGGGCCTTTGCACTGGCCGTCCAGAATGCACTTCTGTCAGTTATCCCTGTCCTTCTCCTTTTCTTCTTTCAAACTTTTTTCTAAAAGTCACATCTTGGTTATTTCTTCTCTGATCTTTCCTACTAAAGTGTACAGCTCTCTCTGCCCTCCCTTTTCCCCTTTATTTTTCTCCATAATGTGTATCACATTGTAATATAGAGTATTTGTTTTGTCCTCTGCCTTCCCTAGCATATATGCCCCTTAGGGTAGAAAGTTGTTTTTTTTTTTTCTGTTTTGTTCCCTACTTTACTCCAGCACCCAGAATGGTTCCTGGCACATAGTAGATGTTCAATTGGATGCCTTAGCATCTCTCTCTGAATGTCTGTCTCACTCTTGGTCCCTAACCTTCTACCATCTGGTGCCGGACACTGTCCTAGGTGCTAGATACAAAACTGAGTAAGACATCATGCTTCTCAGAGAGGGCATGGTGAATGAATTGATTGGTTTGACTCACTTGGCCGCAGGTTCCAGGCTGCTCTCTAGAAACGAGCTCTGGATATAGGGACTCCCCTGAGAAAGACCTCCCAGCAGATATGACTCCCTCTACATGTCCAGGCACTGACTAGAGCCCCCGGGGAACAAGCCTTGGTCCTGCTCCGCACAGAGAGCACAGTGAGCCAACCCCCCTGGGCTGCCCGTCCTCACCTGCTGCCCCTCTGCCTGCAGCGTAAGGCCATCGAGCGGTTCTGCAGTGAGGTGAAGCGCCTTTGCCATGCCGAGAGGAGGAAGGACTTTGTCTCCGAGGCCTACCTCCTGACCCTGGGCAAATTCATCAACATGTTCGCCGTCTTGGATGAGCTGAAGAATATGAAGTGCAGCGTCAAGAACGACCACTCTGCCTACAAGAGGTCAGGGCACCCTCCCCCCCTCCCCTCTGCCTGGGTAGCCAGCTTAGGGGACGCAGAGGATAGAGCCCTTCTGCTAGGCTCCTTCTCCAGAACCAAACTGGCCATTCTCCAACACGGCAGGGTTGGGCCTCTATCGGTTTTTGCAGTTTGGGGACTAGGATGCAGAGCTGAGTCCTTGGAGAACTGGCTCTTTGTCAGCGTTCTGTCTCAAGATGGCATCAAATCCTCATTATCCCCTACCTGTGGAGCAGTAGCAGTTTCTGTGGTCCCGTGCAGTGTGGGACCAGGAAAATAATCAGAAAATAGTCACATCAGTCGTTTCCTGCAAGATTCAGACAGCCAGTTCAAACTGCTTGTGTAAAAGAAGGAACTGGATTGGCTCCCAGAACTGAAAAGTTTCACTGGATCTGGATCTGGATACTCAGATGATGTAGGTCTGATGCCCTCTACCTCTCTCTTGGGCTCGACTTTCCTTGATAGCGGCTTCTTGCTCAGGCAGGCCTGTGCCCGGTGGTGGCCAGCAGCAGCTGTAAGCTTCCCTCTGACCAGCGTAGCTGCCCCAGTTTCAAAGGAAAGAAGGGGAGCCTCTTTCATATATGTTTGCCAAAGTCCCATGGAGGATGGTCATTGCCCCAGTTTGGATAGTGCGTGCACCCCTCCATCAGTTACTGGTGGGAGTGGGGGCTGCAGCTCAGGGGCTTGTCCTCAGAGTCAGTCGGGGGCCAGTGTCAGCCTGCAAGAAAGAAGGACAGGGTGGGTGAGAGGTTGTCACTCTCCAGAAATTAGGATCCAGCCGCCCCGAAGCAACAGGTATCTTTCCTGTATGTTGTGGAGGTTCAGATGAGCCCTGCAGTATCTGGACACTGCTTGGGAAGGATTTTCTGTGTCACTGATGAAGAGAGTCCCTCCTCCTTGAGTCACCTCCTCCCAGGGCCCCGGAGCAACTGGAGAATGCAGACAGCAGACCTGCTTCTCGTGATTTTATCCTCCTGAGCAAAGTATGAAACCTAGGGATGCCCGCAGGCAGAGCCCCATCTCCAGCCTGGCTCAGAAATGGCAGCTTTCACAAAGATTCGTAGACAATTCATAGTATAATGTCTCCCACACCCCCACCCCCGTTCTCCCCAGTTTTGGTCACAAGTGACATGCTCTGTAGAGCAGCTAGGGTCGTGAGCAAGGCAGGTGTCCTGTCCGTGCCCTCCCAGGCTGCCATAACACAGGCCGCACTGACACCAGGTCAGGCTGGAAAAGTCCAGGGTGCCATGGTGTTCCCCCTTCGAGTCCTGTGTGTATTCCCCGTACCCATCATCCCTTCCCCTGTAATCCTGTCAGGTGAAACAGACTTCTGTGTTCCATGCAGTGCTTTGCTTTAGAAACTTGGAGGTTTTCTATAAGTAACATAATCCACTCAAAACCACTCAGTGCACCCTGCCTGGGGTTCTTCTCCATGACCGCTGTGCGGCTTCACGGCAGGTCACGGCACAGCGCGAGGATGCTCGTTTCACCCTGCCTTGCCACCTCGGGCTGGTTGATAGGATGCCAGTTGCCCTTAAACTTGCTGACTTTGACATGCAGTGTAATCTTACCTCTTAATCTGAGGTACCTTTATCACAAGGGTGTACATGGCCCCAGACGAAATGACCCCAGAACACACTCTCCTTTGATGTTAGAATCCCCTGTGATATTCAGAGGTCCTTCACCTCAGGGGGCAGTGAAATTCTGGGTTAGGTAGGAGCAAGAGCCCGTGAGGCCCGGCTTCAGCTGGTTACACTTGAGCATCTTTCTCTGCAACACCGTGTACAGGGCGGCACAGTTCCTGAGGAAGATGGCAGACCCCCAGTCCATCCAGGAGTCGCAGAACCTTTCCATGTTCCTGGCCAACCACAACAGGATCACCCAGGTGGTAGCAAATTCCTTGTTCATCTTGGCCTGGTGTCCCAGGACACAGGCAGGGGCCTGAAGTGTGGGTGGACCATGAGCAGGGGAATTCAGTCCAGATCTAACATCTCCACTTGCTATTCATGAATTAGCAGACTTAAGTCTCGTCTCCCAGCCACAGATGACACTTTTACCCTCTGCACATTTTGTTCTCTGAAAGCCTTCTCACCTGTGTTCTGCCCCCACGTGAGTGAGGATTGAGAGCATGGGTTCTAGAGTTTGATGGCCTTGTTTTCTAGTCCTGGACCCTCCACCGACCCATTGTGAGACCTTGAGAAAGGTCTAAGCTTCAGTTTCCTCATCTGTAAGATGGGGCTGTTCTTTGAGAATATGAGACTCCATCTCCTAGGACTGTTGTGAGCCATAAATGAGACCCCGTATTAAACGCCCTTAGTAGACAGAGTGTGACAAATGGTAAGAGCATGAGCTGCTGCAGCTCTCCTTACTGCCACCACTTTGCCAGGCACTCCCCTCGGCTGCGACTCTCGAGCTCTGCCCGACTTAATGTAACCCGTCTTGCTCACCTGTCAGGTCAGCCTAAACGGGCACCAGCAAGAGTGTGAGCAGGACCCTGGCTGAGAGGGGCCGTCCATCTTGGAAGCGTTTTCAGGCTCACATCTGTCTCAGGGATGCTACTGGCTTCACTGGGCCCTTCCTGCTCCCGGTTGACTGCAGAAGGCTGTCAGGGTTGAGGCTCCATGTTTCTTTCCCAAGACTCAACCCCACGTCTCAGCCCCAGGTTGTCTGGGAGGGGCACCAGCAGTGCTGTTCACGGCATCCCCACAGGGGGGGGCCAGGTTGCGTCTTTGGAGAGAAAGAGCCTGAGACAAAGACCTCAGACTCTTCTCTTGTGGGAAATGCTTCTGTACTGCTGTGTCCTGCCGGGAGGGACACACCTGCTGGTCCCCCTCTCCTCCCCTGGGCTGGGTCTTTCTGTCATCGTCTGAGATGTCGTGACTAAGTCCACACCCTCAAAACTAAGCCTGGATCACCGCAGGCCTGTTGCTAGAAAGCTGAACTGCTTTTCAGCTCAGCTCAAGAAAGTACTTTCTAACTGTCACAACTGCCAGGAAATACAATGGAGGACCCAGGGCAGGGGCAAGTTTTTTGCTGTGGGAGATTCACATGGGAGCTCTGACCTGTCACAGGCGGGGCACATGATGGGGCGCATAAGAGGGGATTTGCAGAAGATGCAGGCTCCCTCCACCTGGGATGGTCACGGGGGCGGTGTGGGTGGGAGGAAGCAGGAGAGGGACTAACCAGAGGGGGGCGCTGCTGTTCAGTGTCTCCATCAGCAACTGGAAGTGATCCCAGGCTACGAGGAGCTGCTGGCAGACATTGTCAACATCTGCGTGGATTACTACGAGAACAAGATGTATCTGACCCCCAGTGAGAAGCACATGCTCCTCAAGGTACAGCTGCGGTCACCCCACCCCCACCCCCAGGGCCGGGGCTTGCCCCTTCACTTCCTTCTTACTTAAAATCATTTTTTAAAAAACATTTATTCTTTTTTCTTAATTAAATGCTGATACAGATCTTACTGCACATAATTTTTCGTAACCTGCCTTATTTCCTTTAATATGTCACATACATCTTTCCAGATGTGGTTATGGATATTTCTGCAGTGTAACTTTTAATGGCTGTTGCGTGTCCCATGGTAGGTGAACATTGTTATTAAACAAATCCCCTGTCGTTAGATATTTGTTTGCTAAACGGCACGGAACACTTACAGCACAGCTTTTGTGTACGTACTCTTGCCAAGTCAGACGTCCTGGAGGAGAAATTGCCTACTCAAAAGAAAAGCAAAATCTTCAAGCTTTTGCTGTATTTCGCCAAAATGATCACATTTGTTCCGTCAGTTTGCAAGTTTCGTTTTTAATTTATCAAGTACTATCTATTGTAGAAAATCTGGAATGTATAGAAAAGCACAAAAAATGTTAATCTCTCACAGTCTTTTCATCCAGAGGTACTACTTTCAGCGTTTTGATGTATTTCCTTCTAATTTTTTCTATGCTCGACATGTTTTCAACATCTGCAATATGCATAAGTTATGTGCGCGTATAATTTGCGTCGCATTTCATTAAATGTATCTGGAATATTGCGCAGCCGCTAAATAATGTGCTCTGAATGTGCTTGCATTTCTTTAGCCATCAGTCCACCTCTGGCTGCTTGGGTTGTTCCTGATCTCTCTCGGCAGAGATAGCACTGAGATGAGCCACCTTCCCCATGTTCTTATACACGCTGCACGGTCCTTTTGATTCTGTCTTCCCCAGAGTCTCCCCTTCATTGTTCTCCTGCTGGCTTTATTTTTCCTCCTCTCCTCCAGGCCACCCTCGCTATTCTAATGCCAGCCCTGTGGGGGTTCCCTTCTCTCCATCCCCACAGCACCTCAATGAGGTTTGCAGGACAGTATGGCTCAGTGACTTGTTCACTCCGGCTTCCTCTGCATAATCAGAGGTCCAGCAACTCACCCAGAGCCTAGTGGCCTCTCACCCTCATAGCTCTTCCCCAAATAGCTGCTGCCACACCCTGGGGCACTAAATCCCAGTCTCCCCCCTCCCCCGAAAAGCCCTCCTAGATGCTGCCATCAGATTCTCAAGCCCTTGTTTTCTCTCGTTGGCTTTTTTTTTCAATGTTTATTTTATTTATTTATTTTGGGGGAGAGAGAGGGAGAGAGAATCCCAAGCAGGCTCCATGCTGTCAGCACAGAGCCCGATGAGGGGCTCGAACTCATAGATCGTGAGACCCTGACCCGAGCTGAAATCAAGAGCCACTTAACCAACTGAGCCACCCAGACACCCCCATCACTGACTGACTTTTAATCACTTTTAGTTCCTCCACACCTCTGTTTCCCAGCCTTCTTGCCCTCAGCTCTCTGCCTTTTTCCCAGCTCTGCAGTTTGTGGTAGTGAACTCAGATGCCACCAGGGTGCCACTCCCCTGACAGGGAAAAGTCTGGCGCACACCCTGCAGAGCATGGGGACAGGATAGGACTAAGGGGGATGCGACCTTAATGGTCCTCCAGTCCAGTCCCTTACGTGTCAGATGTGACTTCCCCACGGAAGCTGCTTTCAGCCTCTTCGTTCAGGCCCCCTTCAGCCTCGCTGTGCATTTGACAAAAGGAGCAGAACATGTCAGCGTTTGAGAGCTATTAGATGGACAGGCATATCCAGAGTCAACCTGCCAACCTGCTCATAGAGCACTGTCAGGCAGGGAAGTCGCCAGTGGCTCCCTGGCAATCTGTCCGTTGTTTTAGCTTCTTTGAGGAGAGAAGTGAATAGCTGAATGTTCATTCAACACTGAGGAGGTATTCACAAGTACCTGTGATGTGCCAGACCCCAGGGATGCAGGAACAGACTGGCTCAGCTCTTCCTTCAGGAAGGATCTGAATGTGTAAATGTTGTCAGATCTGGGTTCAGACCCTGTCTCTGCGACTTGTTAGCTATGTGACCTCAGCAAGCTGGCTAACCTCTCTGTGTCTCCAACGCCTCATCTGTAGAATAAGGTTGTTGTGTAAACTTGATTCATGATTGTTGTCAGAATTAAGGAGACTACCTGGTGAAGCCCTATGCACAGACTCTGGCCCACGGTAAGGACTCAACAAGTGGCCACCGTAATGAGATACCAAAGGGCAGTCTGAATTTCTTCGTAGAAATAAAATCTGGGGTTGAAATTAGATTTATGTCTCCTTTCTTTATGTGAAGACACGTGGGTTTTGAGATAGAACGTGTCACTACATAATGTACATATGTGCACACCTCCTTTTTTTTTTTTTTTTTTTTTTTTTTAACTTTTCCAATGGTTGTGATGGGCTTCTGTGCTCTGCCCCTTCTCACTCTAGGTAATGGGTTTTGGTCTCTACCTGATGGATGGAAATGTCAGTAACATTTACAAACTGGATGCCAAGAAGAGAATCAACCTCAGCAAAATTGATAAGTTCTTTAAGGTCAGAACCTAAGGCTGGGGCTGGACGGAAGGGTGGTCTTTCTGGGGAAAAGAGTGAAATCGGCCAGCAAGCAGTGGGGCTTGTTGATTGAGACACAAGCTCTACAGACTCCAAGAGGAGGAGGAGGATAGAGTGATCAGGCCTCCAGCTGCCCCGCAGAAGGCACTCACTATGGAAGCCTGGCCGGTTAAAGTCAGACATGCGTCCAGTCTCAGGATTTGGCTGGGGTTCGCCTGGGGGGCCTTACAGTTCTTTCTGCATGTGGCTTTTTCTCTTTCCTGAAATCCCTTGCTATCTCAACAAAGAGGTGTATCCCAGAAGACAGTGCCTGCTTTCATTTTCTGTATATATTAGAGCTCACAGAGGCAGGAGGATTAAAGACTGGATTTTAAATTGATCCACATTTGCAAAATCACAGCCTCTTCTGGCCCCGGGGGGCTCCCTCAGCTTGCCCCTGCCTCTGGGCATAGTGCCTCATCATCGGCCATTATACACTCAGACCTTTGCAATGCCTCCAGGGTTTGATCTTCTGGCCCCAATTTTTTTTTTAAATAAAACCTTGGGGTTAAATTAAGCCTTTGGGGTTTTCATGAAGGGATTTCCTGCTTTGGGATTGAATTCCACAGTGTTGGTTCATTCTAGCATTGGGCACTTCAGGCGTGCAGTGGAGTCTCAGGGGTCAGACATGGAAAATCCTGGTTTACATTAAAAGCAGAACCCCTCAAAAGTGTGGCATGGGAGACACTAACCTGGATCCCACTGACTCTTCTAAATTAAGGGGGAAGTAAACCACCAATAGGCATCCTGTGGCTTTGCTTCTTTTCAAGGCTGGAACTTTCACTTTGCTCTGGAGCTGCACCAAACGAAGACAGGGCTCATCACGGAGACCATGCAGAACCCACCTCTGCCCTGAGTCAGCGTGAATGAGATAGGGGTGGGGTTGAGGCATACAGCTTTGCCATAGTCAGGCCTGGGTTTTAGTCTGGCCCTGCCACCTGATAGCTAGATGCTTCTGAGAAAGTCACTAAGCCTTTCTGAAATGGAGTTCATCAGCCTGAAAAATATGAATGCCAAGGGTATCTACTTTCTAGGGTTCCCCTTGGGATTTGGTGGGAATTACATAGGTGAGTCACAGCCCTGGATTACAATCTTGGCTCCTTGACTTCAAGTTGGTTTGACTTTTTGTGAAAATCACTTCAGCTGTCTAAACCTCAGTTTCGTTGTCTGTGACCTGGGAATGATAATAGTACTGACCTCACAAAGTATTTGTGTGGATTGAGATACTGTTTTTTGTTGTTGTTTTGTTTAATTGACAAGGTTTTAGAGCAATTTGGGCTCACAGCAAGATTGAGCAGAAAGTGCAGAGTTTTCCTGTTTACCCCTGACCCCCGCCATGTACAGCCTCCCCCAGTATCAAAATCCCCACCAAAGATACATACTTTTACAGTCAGTGAACGTACCCTGACACATCATTATCACCAAAGTCCTTAGTTTACATTAGGAATCACTCATGGGGTTGTACATCCTGTGTGTTTTGACAAATGCAGCATGACACGTATCTACCACTGTCCTAAAGATCTTCTGGTCTTGAAGTGCTTGACTGCATAGAAGCTAACAGTAAATACCAGCCTCCTCTCCATTTGTCTTGGTCTTCAGTTAGGACTTGTCTGCCCTTTAGTGTTCGGTGTTATGGTTTCAGTTGCTTCACATTGTAGAGTTTCTCAGGAAGGCCACACCTAGCCAGCGGCATCCGGGTATCCACTCCTGGCCCAGAGTTTACAGCAGCAAGAATCCACTAACCACTAACCCAGAGAAATTAGAGCAGAACGAACCCTGCCCTGGGAGGCAGGCCTTCTGGTCCTCATCCTTCGTCCATTCTTCTTGCTGTGTGACCTTGGACAAATCACTTTGTCTCTCTAGGCACACTTGCTGGAACACAGGTTGGTTGGAGGCAGGGGAGGACTTGAACGCTGTCTGGGACTCTTTCTGGTTCTGAGGTTACACAGTAGCATTATCAGAAGCAGAAACTAGGGGTCAGCCCAGAGGTGCACGGAAGCCTGCTTTCCCCTGTGGAGGGCGGCCGCCCGGCTCTGCCCTCAGCATCTCACGCCTTGTGTTTGCTTCCTTTGCAGCAGCTGCAGGTGGTGCCCCTTTTCGGCGACATGCAGATAGAGCTGGCCAGATACATTAAGACCAGTGCTCACTATGAAGAGAACAAGTCCAAGTGAGTGCCTGCCATAATGTCTCTTGGCTCCCGCGAGGACGCCCAGCCCGGGCAGGGGGCCGAGGGGCCACTTCAGCCCCTCCCCCCTCCCCAGAGCCCTGGGCAGGTGGATTCCATCGGAACACTGGCACCCGGCCGGCCGGAAGGGAACAGCGGAGGGTGCTCTGAGCCCTTTTGTATCTGACCTTTGCTGCCAGGGTTCAAAAGTGCTCAGAGCACAGCCACGCCCCTTCTCTGTCCCAGCCGTGACCCGTGCCTCTCAGAGTGGGAAAGCAGGAGCCTTCCTTCCCTTGAGAAGGGGGTACTGGCTGGCCCTCAGTGGTCGGGTGGAGCAGGATGGTGGTCTTTTTCATCACCTTGGTTCTCTCCTCAGATTTGAGTCCATGCAGTAAGTATGTCATTGAGTATATGGTTTGCATAGTTCCCCCTACGAAATGGGTTGACAGCCTCACCTTAGATTGTTTTATAAACCACCATTCTAGGTGACCTGTGCTGGGATCTGGGGTGTCAATGACTCCTGGAAGGTGGGGGACATCCAGCTACAGCCTTGGCCACTCTGGGGCTGTTAGGAAGGTTTCTTCTGTCTGCATCTTTCCCAAAGCTGAATGAATATGACCATTCATACAGAGAGGAGCTGACTGTCCTTTAGTCAAAAGTGAGGGCTTGTGTCTGAAAAATATATAAATGGAGTATCCCTGAACCCCACCAGCCTTGAGCCACTGTGAAGGAGTCTCATCAAGGAAGCCGGTTAGTCTCTTCATAACCTGCTGGCTGCTAGTATGTGAGGAGGTTTTCTAGGAAAATCATGGAATTGAGAAGGCTGCACTCATTTCCTCATGTTTCCTACATGGATTCTCGACCACCTGAAGTTGGCTGGGAGTGGTGACGTGGCCACAGTGGGGTGTCGGAGGTTTGAGAGGTCGTGTCCCCATCCCTGTACAAATAACCCAAAATATGAGTCATGTCGAAGTGTAAATGTGGGGAAATCTGTCACCAGTCCAAGCATTCTTATCAGGGCCACTTCAGAGATCCTTTTGAGATATTACATTTTCCCCAAAATGTTTATCTGCCTCGTTTGGTGCCTGTGCTTAGTCTGCCTCCTGGGTCACCCAGCACCAGATGACAGAACAGGGTGGAGGGGGCTGTCTTTTTTCTCTTGGAGAAGGAGAGTAAAGACTTCCATTCATTGGTTTCCTCTCCATTTTAGGATGGTTTTCCCAATGGTATCTTTCCAAAGAGTTGAGGAGAAAGAAGAGAGGCAAGGAGAACAAGAAGAGAGGGGGAGAGAGAGAGAGGGGGGAGTGAGGGGGAGGGGCAGAGCATGCCAGCAATACCCCTCTCAGAGTGATCATGTTGTCCCTTTCGTGGAGTCCTTCCGTGTTGCCAGGTCACTACTGAAAAAGAAGGCAGTCCCTTTAGGTTTCCCCAGGCCCACCCCCAATGGCCCTTCCACACAGCTTCAACCCCAAGATGTCAGTGCTGACAGTCAGTAGGCAGGTTTGGGGACACCCCCCACCTTGCCTTTTCTTTGCTCGGTTTCCAGTTCTATGTAACCCTAGAGAGGCTCCTCACTCATATAACTGGTAAGTACCGTGGACACCAGGTATCTGGAAAAGCCTGTGATTGGGTCTTAGAGGAGGAAGAAGACTATTCCACTCAGCCTGTGGCAGGCTCTCTTACTGGTGGCTGGGAGGCCTCTTGGGTCCACCCAGGGAGGCCAGACACATTTGGCTGAACACCAGGTGTAACCAGTCAGTGGAAGGAGCCTGTCCCACTGAGGCACCTAAGGCCAGAACCTGCTCCAACCCTGTGATTTTCTGCCCAGGTGGACATGTACCCAGAGCAGCATCAGCCCCCAGTACAACATCTGCGAGCAGATGGTTCAGATCCGGGATGACCACATCCGCTTCATCTCCGAACTCGCTCGCTACAGCAACAGTGAGGTGAGCTCACTCTGGCTGCTGGGATGGAGGCCTGCGGGGGCTCAGGGTGTGAAGGAGTAAGAACCAGCCAGGAAGGGAGTGATCACAGGGATGATGAAGAGCAGGGGTGAGGGGATACATTTCGGAGGCAGAAGGGCACAGTGGCCAAGAACATGGAGTTTAGAGCCAGGTAGAGCTGGACTTGATTCTGGTTCTGCTACTGACCTTAGCAAGTTATATACAATCTCTATGCCTCAGTTTCCTCATCTGTAAAATGGGGGTTGTAGTATCTGGGAAGGTTCGTTGAGAGGATTAAACAGTATATTGCATGGAAAACACATCATGCCCAGCAGATAACAGTGGCCCAGTAATGGTTCATCTGCACATGATCCAAACCATCTCCCCCCTGGATGGCAAGGGAACACTCATGCTCAAAGCTCTATCTAAATATTTTTAAACTACACAATAATAAATTATCATTGTAACACCAGAAAATGCAATTAAGGACAGAAGAAGAGTATAAAAATCTCTTATAATCCCACCAATTACATGTTCACTGGTGTTAAATTTTCTTTTCTTTTTTTTTTTTTAATATGGAAATACAGTCAATGCACATACCTCAGAAAAAATGCAGATATGCAAAAGAGGAAAAATCCATCACGTAAAATTCTACCAACCATAACCAAGTTTATATATTCTCCTGGACTCTTCCTATATATACCCTTATAATAGATTTATATGTTGGTTTGAGAAACACAGGTCTTCTGATTTGAACCTGGATGACTCTGCACTATCCCACATTTGCTCACTGGTTCCATCATGTGGTTGGCGGCCAAAGTGCACATGCTTTCCAAACCCAAACCCTGAAAATGTCTTTGATCAGAGGACAACATATTTGAAATGAGGGCAGCCAGACAAGTGCACACAATGTGATCATTAGACAGCTGGCCCATATTCTTCTGAGGGCTCCGGGAAGACATGGACCAAGGTCAAGCCCAAATCTTTGGCTTTCTTAACCATATGTGCCAATCATCTGAACTTAAGCTCTGGGAATAATTTCAGTCCTGGGGCCTCCTTCATCCTTGTCAAGTTTTGGTGTGATCTAAGAGTGAATCTGGCTTCAAGTTATTTTTTAAGCTATGTTTTATACATGTGTATATACCGACAATTGTCGTCATTCACAGTAGTTATATTCTGTAAAGTGGGCACAAACACTGGATCAGCAAAATACTGAATGAAGCATTGCTCCTAGACAAAGTACAGAGTTAAGTTCCTGTGAAACTCTGGTCACCTCATTTTCATAGACTGATCAACGTGTATAACCTTGTTTTCGATATGTGTCTATTTAAAGACACCTTATGTAATTAATATATATTGTTGATTCATTAACAGTAACTCATATCCAACAGCACTATAACTCATGTCCCAACAAAACTTATCTAAAACATGAGTTTTTTCCATAAAGCACATCATAGCCTTCTTACAGTTAGAATCACTAGGCAGAACATCAGCATTAAATTTGGAGGCATTTTTAATAGTGAAATCATCAGCAGAAATGCAAAAATGTGGAAAACATGGCATTAAATAAACCATGAGAAGGACACTTGTATATGGTATGATTACTGAAATAAGAAGGCAGAGAGTGGCCATTTTTGACCTCAGCTGGGAACATTACTTTCTGATTTTTCACCACTGGGCACATATCTGCAAATGACTGTTAAAGGTACTGCAAGTATTATTGACTTGGAGATTACAAATAAATTTTAGTGAGTAGGCAAACACAAATACAGAATCCACAAATAATGAGGACTGACTATGTATATATGTATATGAACATAGATACCTGTATCCACGTATATCTATGCATATACATGGGCATACATCCATGTGTCATTATGGAATATGTCACACTCAAATAGATGTTTGTCTTCAGTGCTTTTCAATTGGCGAGTCATGTCTAATGAGTTGTGAAATTAATTTAGTGGTTTATGGTTAGCATTTTTGTGTGAAATAGTATAGAAAGAGAAATTCTCATGTGTTCAGGGTAAAGTTGCTTCACGCAAAGTTGTTGCTTCATATATATGGTTAAGATCTCCTTGCAGGTACGTGTCCCCGAGTTGCTATGTGGTGACTCTGGCATCACACAACCTGAGGTTAAAGCCTCAACCATTTACAAGCCACATGGCCTTCAACAAAGAACTTGTCTGAAAATGAAGGGGGTATAATAATAGCACCTCCCTTGTGTTATTCTTGGGGGAATCAGTGAAATCATGTATAAAAGTGCCAGCACATACATGGTGAGGGTGACGGCCCGTGTTCCCCAGGTGGTGACAGGCTCCGGGCTGGACAGCCAGAAGTCAGACGAGGAATACCGTGAGCTCTTCGACCTGGCCTTGCGGGGCCTGCAGCTTTTATCTAAGTGGAGCGCCCATGTCATGGAGGTGGTAGGTGTCCCTGAGGGCAGACGGCTTGCCCTCCCCTGTCCCCTGCAGACTGACCTCTGTTCACATGGACTCCTGGCTGCCTCTGCCTCTCCCTGAGCACTCTTTTTTTTTTTTTTAACAGCCTTACTGAAATGGAATTTGCATACAATACAGTTCACTCATTTAAAATGTAAAATTCATTGGTTTTTAGTATATTCACAGAACTGTGCAGCCACAGTCATTTTCAGAACATTTTTATCAGTTCCAAAAGAAACCCTGTGCAATCCCCTCCCCCATTCCTTATCCACACAGCCCCAAGCAATCTGTCTTCTGTCTCTGTAGATTTCGCTATTCTGGATGTTTCCCATAAGTAGAATCATATACTCTGTGGTTATTTGTGTCTGGCTTCTCTTACTTCACATCTTCAAGAACCACGACCCATGTTATAGCATGAGTCAGAACTTCATTCCTCTTATGACTGAATTACATTCTCCTCTGCATGCTCACACCATGTCTGACTTTTCCATTCACCTGCTGATGGACGTTTGGGTTTTTCCTCTCCCCACCAGTACTCTTGGAAGCTGGTTCACCCCACAGACAAGTTCTGCAACAAGGACTGCCCAGGCACAGCGGAGGAGTACGAGAGAGCCACGCGCTACAACTACACCAGCGAGGAGAAGTTTGCCTTTGTCGAGGTGGGTGCTGACTCCGCACGCATCCTGCCCTCGGCCCCCCCCCCCCCCCCCCCCCCCCCCCCCCCCCCGCAAGGCTGCTGCTTGGTATCGACCCTGGTAGCCATGGCAGCCTCCTTGTGTGCATTTGCTTCCCTGACCCCCTCCTCCTGCCCGAATCCGTCTCTGGCATAAGCTACCATTCAAAAATGATTAGAAACTCATTCTCCGGGAACTTGGGTGGCTCAGTCAGTTGAGCATTTGACTCTTGATTTTGGCTCAGGTCATGATCTCAGGGTCATAAGATTGAGCCCCGCGTCAAGCTCTATGCTGAGACTGGAGCCTGCTTGAGAGATTCTCTCTCTGTCTCTCCCTTTGCCCCTTTCCCCTGCTCATGCTCTCTCTCTCTCTCTCTCAAATAAAAAATAAAATAAAATAAAATAAATGAAAAAAGAAGGAACTTTTTCTGTTCCTAACGATCCAAAGGAAGGCATTCACTCCACTAGAAAAATGGGCTAAAGGAAGCCAACAGAAGAGACAGGGACAAGTGGCCAAAAGAGATAAGAAAAATGCCCAGACTGATGAGTGATCAAAGAACTATAGGTAGAAACTGAGATACGATGAAATGGCAGATGTTGGACCCCCAGGATTTAGTGTCTGATTTTATCTTTTCTTTCTTACTGTACATCATCTATTTTTGTTCTGCTTTGTGGGCTTTCCTTAAGATCAGCTTTGTCCTGTGTATTTTTTATCATGCCTGTTACATTTTTAATGTCCGAAAGCTCCATCTTATTCTCTGAATGTTCCTTTTATAAACGTCCCTGTTCTTGTGTCAGACTATACAGTACCTTCATGAGGACAGTATAGCTCTTTTTATCATCTTTATTGAGGCATAATTTATATGCAGTAAACTGGATCTATTTAAAGTATATAACTCAAAGACTTTTGACAGTTGTATACACACCTCTGAACCACAAAGGTAAGATACAGAACATTTCTGTCCTGGCTTCGACAGCACCCGTACTAGAATTAGAACAGTACAGAGAAAGTTAGCATGGCCCCTGCACAAGCACAACACACAAATTCTCCCCTTAAAGACTTGGTGCCATTTTCAGTCTATCCTCCCGCCATCCTTGTGCCCAGTCACTTTTTTTTTTTTTTTTGTCACCACAGAGTTGTATTTTCTATCATTTTTCATAGTTTGTAATTTTTTGTGTTTGGGTCTGTTACTCACCATCATAATTTTGAGTTCTATCCACATCGTGTTGTGTATCAGTAGTAGTTCCTTTTTATTGTTGAGTGTTATTCCATTGTGTGGATATACTATGATTTGTTTGCCCGTTCAACTGTTGATAAACGTTGGGCCATTTCCAGCCTTTTGGCCAATATGAAAAAAGTTGCTTTAAAGATTTGAATATAGGGGCACCTGGGTAACTCAGTCGGTTGAGCATCCGACTTCAACTCAGGTCATGATCTCGCGGTCTGTGAGTTCGAGCCCCGCGTCGGGCTCTGTGCTGACAGCTCAGAGCCTGGAGCCTGCTTCAGATTCTGTGTCTCCCTCTCCCTCTCTGCCCCTCCCCTGCTCATGCTCTGTCTCTCTCTCTCTCAAAAATGAATAAACTTAAAAAAAAATGATTTGAGTATAAGGCGTGTAGATATAGGTTTTTATTTCTCTTGGAATGGCCGTATTATAGGTTTATGCTTAACGTTTTAAGGAATTGCCACACAGTTTTCCAAAGTGGAAGTGCCATTCCATATCGCCACCAACAGTACGTGAGAATTCTGTTACTCCACACCCTCACAGTCCTTGATGTTGTCAATTTGATTTATTTTAGTCATTCTAATGGCTGGTTAGTGAAATCTCATTGAGGTTTTAGTTTGTATTTCCCTGAAGACTGATGATAACGAGCATCTTTTCACGTGTTTATTGGCCATTCTTATATCCTCCTTTGTGAAATGTTGTCTTCTGAAATTTTTTGCCCATTTTTTAAACTGGGTTTCTGTCTTCTTCTTGAATTGTGGGAATTCTTTATATGTTTGGGACTACAAGTCCCTAGTCTTATATATGTTGTAAATATTTTTTCTCATCGGGGACTTTGCCTTTTCACTGTTTTAGGGATACCTTTTGAAGAGCACCTCTTTTGACATTTTGATAAAGTGTAACTTATCAATTATGTTATGGTTTGTGATTTTTGTGTTCTAGCTAAGAAATCTCTGCCTAGCCCGAAGTTGCAAATATTTTCTCTTAAGTCTGAAAGATCTGCACACTCGTCTGTGTTTGGAATTATTCTGAAATATCTTCATTCTCTATCCCTTCTTTTGCCTCACTATTTTAATCCTAATTACATCTCTAGCCGAGAGCCCAGATTTTTTTATGGCATCATGTTCCTTTAAGGCTTCGGTCCCATTGTTTCTCTACACCAAAGCTTCTTTCCAGCAAAACCATCATACGTATTGATTCTAATTAAAGTCCTCACCTCCTAAACTTTGTTCTCACCATTTCCCCTAACCTCAGATGTTCTATTTATTCCTTTGAGGTTTAGAGGAAGGAAAAAGATCTTAGCTTCTTAGCTCATTCATTACTTTATTCACTCCTTTTCAACAAAACTTTTCTGGCAGCCCACCTCAGGCCCAGGCAGTGGGCACAGCGTGTGGACAGCACTGCTGGGCCCTGTTCCTGCAGCACTTACAGCCTGGTGCAGAGGGAGGAGGTCTAACACATCATGAGTGTTAGACTCATCACGGGTGTGATAAGTGCAGTGGTTGGTAAGAGGCTGATTTGGCATGTGCTATCCCCTCCCCTCCCCTCAATCTAGGTATTAGCGCTTGTGGCTGATAGGGGCCAAAAGATCAGGTTTGTTGCTAGGGAAGCTGGACTAGGGATGTGTCTTCCAACCAATGCCACCCGAGACTTCTTGTTCCTCCTCCGTGCCATTTAACTTACCCACTGGGAAACAGACAGAGCAACTGTAGAAATACATGCGTCTCTTCCTCGGGATGGGGAGGGAATGGTTATTGCCAGGAGAAGACAGGAACCCAGGCAGACAGATCTCAGAAGAGATCTCCAAGGCAGGCCAGCATACGCTCATCGCAAAACCCGCCCCCACCCCTGCAGATAGATAAGTGAGTTAAAGGTCTAGGGAGGAGGTAAATAGAAGGGCAGAGGCTTTCCCTCACCTGAGACTTCTACAGAGATATTGTGTCCTGGAGGAAGTCCTATGGACTCCACAGCAACCGGCCAAGTTCTTTCGAAAGCAAAGATTGTAAAAATTCTGTAGAACATTTTATGGTCAGAAGAGTTCTACTTGATACAGTCTGTGGGTGCATGGTATGTAGAGGGGCCTCTAGAAGTCAGAGTGGTCCACAAAATGTGGTCTGTGAATAAGCTGCCATTTGTCACCAGTCAGCAGGAAGATAAGGACCTGGTGCCAGAATGAAAATCAGCTACATTGTGAAGCACACCGTTCCATTTAGCTGACATCTTTGCTGTGTAGCAGGACTTTGTTGATGAAGAAAGCAGAGCACTGATTTCCCATGCAGCACACATTTCTGACCTAGTTGTGAATGGGCACTTTGAGTAGCACTAGCCCCTTGCTTCCGGACCCTCCCTGCAATGTGGTGAAGGGTGCTGGACAGATAAGTGAGCTGAAGCACAGTGAGCCTGATCTTGATCTGTGCCTGGCCAGGTGATTGCCATGATCAAAGGCCTGCAGGTACTCATGGGCAGGATGGAGAGCGTCTTCAACCAGGCCATCAGGAACACCATCTACGCGGCCCTGCAAGACTTTGCCCAGGTGACACTGCGTGAGCCCCTGAGGCAGGCGGTGCGGAAGAAGAAGAATGTCCTTATCAGGTGGGTCTTCAGATGGCCCTTTTCAAGAGCACATCTAAAATCAGGGCGTGCTAGGTGTAGACGACAGAGCATGTTCCTGTCTCAGTCAGCTTCCAGAGCAGCCTCTGAACACACACAGAGCTTACTAGCAAGTTCCAGCAAATTCTAGGAGGCCTTCTTAGGAGTTGGACGTTTGAAATGAAGCCTCAGTCTCTGGGTTTGTAGCCCATATCCACCATTAGCTGTGTGCACTCAGTCCAATAACCTACTTTCTCTGAACCTCAATTTTCCTCGTTTGTAAAATGTGGATGATAACTTACTTCGTTGGCTGTTGATAGAGTGAAATAATCAGTGTGTAGACCTAAGCACACAGCAGCATGGAGTAAGTATGCAACAAATATAAGCTATCATTAAACTTTTGAACATGCAGAGATGTAACTGGACTAGTGAAACGCCCCTGTAATGAGAAAAAAAAAAATTAGGCAGTGGCCCTCAGAGTCACCTGGGCGCTTGTTAAAGTGCAGACTTCTGGACTGTAGCTCAAGCCTGAGAAGCCAGCCCTTCACCCTGGGGTGGTTAGACACAGGAATTCTAAGACAAGTGCTCCTGGGCCGTCTCAGACTCTAGAAACAGGCTTGCAGGGCTTCCTCCCACCAGTAAAACCTACTCTGAATATTGGTTCTTCCTTCCCAGTGTCCTCCAGGCAATTCGAAAAACCATCTGTGACTGGGAAGGGGGCCGAGAGCCGCCTAATGACCCGTGCTTGAGAGGGGAGAAGGACCCCAAAGGTGGATTTGACATCAAGGTGCCCCGGCGTGCTGTGGGGCCCTCCAGCACACAGGTAAGTGGCTCTGGGCACAGGCCAGCTCTGTTGACTCAGAGGCCAGCCAGGTCATGGTAGGTCATCCTGGCTGGACTGTGGGGTGGTGGGACTGGGTGGTCCTCAGGCAGGAGGGGCAGGGTCCAGCAGCTGTTCTAGTCTTATTCTGCCATCTTGTTTTAATATAGGAGGGAGGACTACCAGCTTAAGATTCAGGAGACCTGGATTCTAGTCCCAGATACCTGTGTGACCTCGGGCATGTTACACAGTCTCCTTGTGCCTCAGTTGTCTAATCTGGCAAATGGAGGTAATACCAGGACTGGCTGTCTCCTAGCCCTGTGAAGTTTAGGTTCCAAAGTGTAGGAGGAATTTAAAGTAGAATCTATATGCATCTATCCTGTCCCTCTGTAGTGAACCCTGGCCCCTTCCCCTGAAGTGACATCCTAGCTTGGGAATTTATAAGTTCTGCCTCTGACTTGCTGTGTGATCTTAGGCAAGCACCTTGACCTGTCTGTACTCTAATTATCTTCTCTATTAAATGAAAATTTTGAATGAGATCATGTTACTGACAAGTATTATCCCCTCAAATGCACTAGTATCAAAAGCCCTTGACCCCTTAGAGAGAGTCTAGTAATCAGAGATATTCAGAGTTGTTAACCAAAGCTTCTGAACAAGAGGTCACCTGGGATTTATCCAAAGTAGTCATACAGTTGTTAAAAACAAAACAAAAAAAAAGTGAAGAATCTGGGCATCTTGGTCAAATCCCTGCCACTTACTTAAGGATAAGCCATTCCTGGTAGGCTTTTTGAGGAATTGGAAAAAAGCATAAGGGTCCATTGAACTTTCAGGGGTCTTGCAGGAACTCCCACTTCACATGACCTTTCAGCCTCTCTCAGCTCTGAAACCCTGAATCTGAATCATCTGAGATGAGCCATGTGAGGCCCACCGCCTCCCCTTCTATGTGTGTGTGTCTGTGTCTGGGCAGGGGCCGGGGAGGAAGGATGGGCCAAGACGGGTTCTCAGCCATGTCACTGTAACTTCCTTGGCTTCACAGCCCACGGGCCAGTTTGCACTAATCTTGCTGGTTGTGGAAATCCCAGGGAAGCTTCTACAAATACTTCTATGTAATGTCAAGGACCACAGACCTCTCCAGCCTAGGACACACCTCATGGGTGTTTCCATAAGTCCCAGGACATGAGTGAGGGAGACCCGGACAAGGCCAAAGAGAAACTGGAAAGGAGGAAGAGGGCCACACAGGCAGGGAGGGAGGGACAGAGAGGAGGAATACTTATGTAGGTGGTCTGAGAGGGGAGTGTGACCACGAGTTAACCCCCAGCACCACCAAATCATACGAGGCGGCATAGATGCATTTTCAGTAGACTCCCGAAGTCAGAGCTGGAAGAGCCCTTAGAGACAAGCTAGTCCCAGGGCCCTCCCTATTTTACAGATGGGGAAACTGAGGTCCGGAGAGGGGAAGTGACTTGTCTAAGTCACAAGATGAGTCACAGGCGGAGGTGGGACGAGAACCCAGGTCTCCTGACTCCTGCCCCGGGGCTCTGTTAGGGCCTTCAGAGCACAGGAGACAGGGGCATCTAGCAGAGCTGGGCTGCTGACTGATCTGATGAGTTAAATAGAAGCAGGTGGGAAGAGTTCCCCCTCTTTTATCGATGAAGTGGATTTTCAAATAGAATTTGATGTAGATCGGTCAATTCCACATGGATGGTACTTGATGAATCCTTTCCTTGATGACTCCAAAGGCCATCATTAGAATAGTGCTTCTCGGTTCTTAGGGATGGTCAGGCCTGCCCAACAAGGGGGTTGCAGAGGGTGGACTGTCCAGTAAACTGGCCACCATGGGGAGCTCTTGCACCACCAAGGGAAGTGCTGTGGCAGGGGTGTGTGCCCCTCCTCTCTGAGGCTGCGTGCCCGGCCCAATGCCAGGGGCATGGTGGGTACGGTCCTAGAGGAGATCCAGAGGCAGCCAGCACAGACATGGTGGCAGAGGGAGGTTGGAGCTTCTGAGAGGTGGTCGGCAAGTGGCCCCTATAGCAGTCGCGGCGGCTTTCCCACCGTATACAATACCTCTTGCTTTTCTCTCTCTCTCTCTCTCTCTTCTCTCTCTCCCTCTTCCCTGTCTCTCCTGCCCTCCCACCCCCTCCTCCTTTCTCCTATCTATGTCTTAGGCCTGCCAGTGGTCCCCGCGGGCTTTGTTTCACCCCACTGGTGGCACACAGGGCCGAAGAGGCTGCCGATCCCTGGTATTACACCGCCTGGCTGGGTTGGTTGGGGTATACTTCTCCAGGAGGCAGCAGGAATGGACTAGCCTGGCTCCTCAAGGCCCCTTCCAGCCCTAACATTCAAAGGCATATGATGTGGAAAGATCTAGATTAGCACTTGCACCCTTTGCACTTAAGGCCCTCTGTAAGCGGGAGTTGATTGTCTAGTAGACCTCCTGTGTAAGTACCAATCTTCACCCGCTTTCCTCCCAGGATTTCGGTAGGCTGTGCAATGCAGCTGGCACCACCAGAGGGCGCCATCGCTCAGTCATGGATTCAGAGTGCTAAGGGTCAGAAGCTTGAGGTGGTTGGGTGGGAGGCTTGTTCTGATCATATTCTATTTCGCAGTTCCTCAAAATGTTAGAGCTGAAAGGGACTGATTTGAGAAAGCATCTGGTGCAACCCCTTCGTGTTAGCAGATAAGAAAACTGAGGCCCAGAGCGGGACTTCGCTGCCCAAGGTCACACAGCAAGACAGTAGCAGTGCCTGGCCTTAGACCCGAGTCCACGGCTCCACCCATGGCACCACCATAGCCAACCAGTAAAGCAGAGAGTGACTCCAGAGTGACGTGAACTGAAGTTCTCCTCTGATGCCCATGCCCTTGGCCGAGCAGAGCAGGCAAAAACCTGGGCCTTGAATGACTTGGTATTACCGGGTCTACCTACCCAGGGATGCCGCAGACCCCAGGCAGGACTTCCTCCCGGGCTGGGCAGTCTCCCTCTTGCAGGTTTATATGTTCCAAATTCACTTCTCCAACCCTAAACTGGTGCTTCCTTAAGACAGTGCTTTTTAAGAGCAGACATCTGCAGGAAAAAAAAAAGACAAATATAAATACAGCACAAAGAAACCTTTACCCCAGGGTGGAGAACCAGCCCTTGACCTTCTCATCTTTCTTTCTCTTTCAAGCTGTACATGGTGCGGACCATGCTTGAATCACTCATTGCAGACAAAAGTGGCTCCAAGAAGACCCTGAGAAGCAGCCTTGATGGACCCATCGTCCTCGCCATAGAGGACTTCCATAAACAATCCTTCTTCTTCACGCACCTGCTCAACATCAGTGGTGAGTCGCAGTGGGGAGAGGATGGGGGTCCCAGGTCCCAGACCAACTAAGGCCTTCGGACCAAAAGTCGCAAAGAAAAGTGATCATTGACCAAAAGGGACACATTTTGCCACTGAAGAAGAAAATACAAACTTTTCTGGTGGGCTTGGAAAGGCCAGGCCAGTCCAGCTATTCTGACTCAGCTAAATTTGTCTGGTAGACATTTGCAGTATATTTGTCATGAAGTTCTTAGAAGAAGGAATTAAAACTGCCAACATACCTGCAGACGTGGCCAGGCACTTGACTATCTTGTTGCTCCTAACAAAGGCAGCTTTCAGGCTGTACCACAACCCTGTGTCCCACAGCCCTGTTCTCCTGTCAGCAGGATGCCTATGCAGGCAGGGTGGAAGGAGAGCAGCATCCAGGGATGTGGGAGTGGTAATGCATCTGTTGGTGCTGAGAAGAGTGATCTTAACCAACAATCCAAGCTTCTCCATTAGAGCACAGCCTAGGAGCCTTCAAGGCTTCTCAGTATATGGAAGTTAGAATTACCATGTATAAGGATGCAAGGAGCAGTCAAAAGTAGGCGCCTGGGGACCTGGCTTGACACCGTGTTTGTATAGCAAGCATGCTTTTCACACTCAGATCATGGCTTTTCAGGACGGCTTTGCAGGGGGATGATGGAAACTGGGGAGGCATCTAAAGCTCTAAAACGTTGCTGCTCTCTTCCCCCCAAGGGCTGCTACTGAGAAGCTTAACAAATGGTGTTTTCTAAATAGATGTTAGACTGGCTTTCAGATATAAGAGAGCAGGATCTACAGACCAAGTCATGTTTTATGAGTACCTGCTGCATACTAGTTCAGTGGCAAGAATAGCAATGAAAGCAATAAGAACTAAGTTAATAAAAACGGCAAGAAGAAAGATCTTTTGGTGCTTCCTGTGTAGAACCCACGACTCTTTCTGCTATGCTTCCAGAAGCCCTGCAGCAGTGTTGTGATCTGTCTCAGCTCTGGTTCCGAGAATTCTTCCTGGAGTTAACCATGGGCCGGCGAATCCAGTTTCCAATTGAGATGTCCATGCCCTGGATTCTAACAGACCATATCCTGGAAACCAAAGAACCTTCCATGATGGAGTAAGAGGCAGGATTGGGTCAGCAAGGAGGTTCCCCGGGTTCAGATGGTAGTTTTGCTAGTGAGCTATGTTCTTTCCACAACTTTCCAGATTAGGCAGTGTGCCCCACCAGGGAGAATGCTTACGCCAAGGATCACGTGACACCAGATTTCGCTCAGCCTTGCAGATAGGTTCAGGGTTCTACCAGCCCAGCTGTCCTTCCTGTGCTTTGTCAGTCTCAGAACACCCATGCTTGGAAGGTAGTCATCTCTGGGGATCAGGAAGCTAATATCCTTAACTACCATCTGATTTCTTTTGGTCCCAGACTAATTTTTTCAGACCTTGGATTTATTAACCTCATGGTGTTTTGATTTCTGTGGGAAGACTGTAAAGTAAGTCATCCCTAAAGCAGGCTGGAAACATCAGAATGCTGGAAGGCTCTCTTCTAACCCAGAGCCTGTTCATCTTTTCACCCAACCCTTCATATGTCCCAAGCCGCATCAGTCAGACTGCCTTGAGAGAGATTAGTAAGCTGCTGGCCTCTGTTCTTCTCCCTCAGGTACGTCCTCTACCCTTTGGACCTGTACAATGACAGCGCCTACTATGCTCTGACCAAGTTTAAAAAGCAGTTCCTGTATGATGAGATTGAAGCTGAGGCAAGTGACGTGCTTCCCCTTTCGTTCCTATAATCTTATTCCAAGCGTCTGGACTTTTTAAATCTGGAGCTGTTGGCACAAAGTGGGCTGTCTTCATCTGTTCAGGCTTCTGTACCAAAATACCACAGACTGAGTGGCTTATCAACAACAGACATGTATTTCTCACTGTTGTGGAGGCAGGAAGTCCAAATCAGGGGTCCAGTACCACCCAGTGGGGGCGCACTCCTGGGTCACAGACTTCTCGTGGTATCCTTGCTAGTGGAAAGGGTGAGCAAACTCTCTGGGGTCTCTTTTATAAGAGCACTAATCCCATTTCTGAGGGCTCCACCCTCATGACCTAATCACCTCCCAAAGTGAGGTGATTCCTAATACCATCACCTTTGGGGGTTAGGGTCACAACATAAGAATTTGGCGGGAGCATACGCCTTCAGACCATAGCAGTAAGGGATCAATGACTTGTTCTGGAGAGTGATCTCTTTTTATGACTTTTTTTTTTTTTTTTTTAACATTTATTTATTTTTTTTGAGACAGAGAGAGACAGAGCATGAACGGGGGAGGGTCAGAGAGAGGGAGACACAGAATCTGAAACAGGCTCCAGGATCTGAGCAGTCAGCACAGAGCCCAACGCGGGGCTCAAACTCATGGACAGTGAGATCGTGACCTGAGCCGAAGTCGGCCGCTCAACCGACTGAGCCACCCAGGCGCCCCATGACTTTTTTTTTTTAATTGCAGGACAGTTGACACCCAATGTGACATTAGTTTCAGGTGTACAACACAGTGATTCTAAAACTTGACATGTTATGTTATGTTTACCACAAGCGTAGCTACCATCTGTCACTATGCAGCACTATTATAATCTCATTCACCGTATGGAGATTGATCTTTACAAACATCATGACCATCGAAAAGGACCCAGACCAGGATGATGGTCTTTCTTTTTCAAATATATTAAGGGATGGCAGATGATAGTAATGCAGGGGTAAAATCAATTTTCTGTTGGGTCTGGTCTGGTTGGGTTATTTGGCTAATAATAACAGCAATACCACCTATCAATTATTATATATCTGCCTTTTGCCAAGGGCAGGGATAAGCACTGTAGAGAGAGACTTATCAAATAAACTTTGTAGCAATTTAAAGAAGTGTGTGCTACTACCTATTTTACAAATAATAAATCTTAGACTTACAGTGGTCAGTTATTACATCAAGGTCACACAGCTTACAGAGTCACTTTCTAGTACTAGTAGGACTGAAGTAACCATCCTCTCAACCATTAAAGCTGTTGATTAGAGAGTCATTCGATAGCTTTATTTCTGTACTGGTCAGGATAAGCTAGGTTATGCTCCAGTAACAAATAATCACAAATTCTTAGTACCTTGAAACCAAAGGTTTATTTCTCCATTATGGATTGATTGGGGGCTCTGCTCCATGTGGTCTTCAAGCTGGGACCCACCTGGAACATTCACTAATTGCCATGCCAGGGGGAAGTGTTACTGGTACTCAAAGCTTCCACCAGGAAGTGACACATGTCATTGGTCAAAGCAAGTCACATGACTGCACCTCCTTTTCAAAGAGGAGCGAGGAGGTACAGTCCTGCCCCGTGCAAGGACCAGGAGCCTGAGGGAAATGGCAGTGATGGTTACTGAAATGTAATTTTGCCTTCTGGAAATGGGAATGATAGTCTGCACTGTGCTTAACTGCATGGGGCTATATAGACACAGAATGGGCCAACTAGGGAAAAATGTCATAGAAACATAAGACATTCTTCTTTATAAAGGAAGGACATGACTGTTTTAGGATTAGCATCACCACTAACTTAGTTTGAAAGTTTACGTATTTCAGAGAAAATCTAGTAGAGATGCTTCTTGCTTTCTCAACCCTCCAATGTCTATGGGAGTTGAAAACCTTAATGGACCCCAACACAGATCTGTTCTCCTGAGTGCGAACTTGGGAAGAAAGATTCCTGGAGACAAGTTAACTGGTTGTACCTTGGCTTTGACAACTCCATCTTCTGACAGATCTTATATACTTGCGTTCTCCAACAGGTTGAAAACAGAACAAACCTAGAGTGTCATGTGGCCAAGTGAGATTTTTTTTTAATATTTATTTATTTATTTATTTATTTATTTATTTATTTAGAGAGCATGCACTCACGAGCAGAGGAGGGGCAGAGAGAGAGGGAGAGAGAGAATCCAAAGCAGGCTCTACACCGTCAGCACAGAGGCGGACGCAGGGTTCAATCCCATGACCTGAGCAGAAATCAAGAGTCGGATGCTTAACTGACTGAGCCACCCAGGCGCCCCAGAGATTTTTTAAATAAATGTAAAAAAAAGCACACAGCCAGGCCCTGGGTAACATTTGAGGGCCTAGGGCCAAAGCACAAATTGAGACCCCAGCTTGTAGCCTGCCACCTTTCTGTTCCCGTCCCCAAGCGCTGTTTTGCCCTATACAGGGCCTTATGTGCATGTGTACGGATATGGATATCCAAACTTTGTCTGCTATCACTGCCCTCAAACTGCGGCCCTCTTCGCTAACCAACGGCCCTAGGGGTGCACACACCCAAGGTGCGGTCCACCCTCAGGGCTGATACCAGGGAAAACACCAAACAGGCCTAAAAGGGGCTTGGGCTTTGGGAGCAAAGATACTCAAGGCTGGTTCTAGAAGGGGAGCATAGGGTATGAGTGGGGGACACCTTGACCCTGCAGGTTCTTCAGCTGTTGGAACATCCCCTGGAGACCTTTGAAGTGCAGAGTCTGGGGCAGAGGCCTTGGTTACCTGCAAATGAGGACAGAGCTGCACCCAACTCTGTGGTTTATGTTCAGAATAGCATCTGGGGTGTAAGATAAAACCTGAAAGCTCTTCGGATAAAGAATTAACTGTAAGGAGCTGAGAATTTGGGGAGAGAAGAATGGAAGAGAAGTCACGTAAATACGCTCTGTTCCCTTTGAAGTCACATGGCGCTCTGCCCCCACTGCAGCCCCAGCTCAGTAAAGTCCCACCTGTGGCTGTTTCTGGCCATCACTGGAGGGTTTGGTTTTGATCCCATGTCTGACATGAACGCCTCACCTGAGCATCACAGTCTGCCACCTATGTGACAAGACACTGAAATGGCAAGATGACCCCATAAGCATTAAGATCCAAAGGTTTTTAAACAAAGTTTGCAAAAAAAAAAAAAAAAAATAGATTTTTCAGTTTCCAGTGACCACCAACTTCTTCATTTGTCAAGCAAGGTAAAATAAAGTGAAAGGAAAAGACAAAGTCTAGCAGGAAAGAGAATGGGTTGGCTGATACGAGTAATTGCAGGGGATATGAAGATCTGTCTTGCATTGCCTCTGGGCAGGCCACCTCCAAACAGCAAGGAGGGGACCAGAGGCAGGGGCAATTCCTCCAGAGCTTTTTGGACTTTGCCTTCTCTGTGCCTAGCTAAAAACCTTGAGAGGAAGGGCCAAACTTCTTAACTGAATCACAAAATCTTCTTTTGTTGCTGTTCAAAGTCTCTTGCTCCGCAACATGCACTGCCACCCAAGCGCCCACTTTCAGTCGTCTAAGCTTCTATGATAAAGCCAGACAGACACCACTGACATTTCCTGCTTCCCTTTCACCAGGTGAACCTGTGCTTTGATCAGTTTGTCTACAAGCTGGCGGACCAGATCTTTGCTTACTACAAAGCCATGGCTGGCAGGTAGGAGAGTCCCAGGGCCGTGAGCAACAAGCTTTCTTAGACTGCCACCTGTGAGACATAGTTTCCTGTTGTAAAAAACCTCTCTTCTTCTTTAGCACCTAAGGAAATTGGAGCGATCCTGTGGGCCTGGACTGGATGCTAAAATACGGAGAAAGGAAAATAGGCAGCTTTGGTGCTGCACCTCATGGAGCTTACAGTCTAGTGGGGGGTAACAGACATTAATAAAAACTGATGAAAGCACAGTGACAAGGGAGGTTACATGCTCCCTGTGAAGGAAAAGTTCATGGGAACTTATGGATCTGTGACAGTTAAACCTGAACTAGTCTTTGGGGTGAGGAACTGGAAAAGCTATCCTGAGAAAGTAACATTTGAGTTCTTATCTGAAATTGGTAGGCATTAATTAAAAGTGAAGGATGGAACAGGAAATTGCAGGCAAAGGAACTGTTTGCAAAGTCCCTGTGGCAGAAATATCATATTGACAACACACTTACTCCATAGGGCAGTTGAGACAATTAATGTGAATTAGTACATGTAAAGACCTCATTCACAGACCACAAGAAGAGGCAGGTTGCGTGATGAAACTGAAGAGGTAGGCAGGGCTCAGGTGACAGGGCTTGTAGGCATTTACCTAGGAGGAATAGAATATCATGGGATGGTTTCAAAAGTATGACAGAGACCTCAGTTTTTACTTTTAAAAATTTGCCCTATTAAAAACATAAAAATGTGGAGAATGGATTGGTGGTGAGCAAGTAATGGGTATATAAATATAGGTCAGATAGGAGACCAGTGAGGAAGTTGTGGTAAGATACATGTCAAGTGTTCGAGGCTTGTTGGTGTTGATTGGCGGTGTGTGTTGATTTAGATGCCCGTGAATTCCTGGGTTGCAGGAACCCGTAACAGAACTGGTCAAGAAAAACCTCAAAATAGGTGTCTCTCTTCTTATTGGAAATCCAAGTCTATAAACCAGTAATATCAAGAATAGTTACTTAACCAACAGAAATTATTTTTCTTTCTATGCAAGGAATTTGCATCATTTTGCTTTTGACGGCTAAAGTTGCTCTGACATATTTCAAAGAGAAGCTGATGTACAGAGCACACAAGTTCCTGTTAACAGAGAATGCACATCCAATGAAGTGAGCTGCTCTTAATGATGGAAAATACTTTCTGGGAAAACACACCAAACACATAGTCTTTCACAAAGTAATCACTTAGCACGTGTCTGGGTTGAATGAGAAGTGGTTAGAACAGAAGTGAGTAGGGCTTCCAGTGTCTCTACAATAATTCTCATTTCAAATATGCTGTGTACACAAACCCAGACTTGTCAAACCCTGATCCTCTGTATATTAGTTTATAAAACATTCTTATCTAAAATACTGCCTTTAATCTATACTACTTACTCCCTACAAGGTGAATGTTTTCCAAAAATATGGGTGGCTGGGGGAGACTGAGAGAGGTTGGGAGAGTCCAAGAAAGCACAGGAAGGAAAGAATGATCTAAATCAGCGCTGTCCATTAGAAATATAGTGCAACCACAAATGTGAGCCGCACATGTAATTTTAAATTTTTTAGTAGCCATATTTTAAAAAGGAAAAATAAACAGGTGAAATTAATTTAAAAAGTGTTTTTAATGTTTATTTATTTTTGAGAGACAGAGAGCACAAGCAGGGGAGGGGCAGAGAGGCAGACACAGAATCCGAAGAAGGTTCCAGGCTCTGAGCTGTCAGCACAGAGCCCGATGCAGGCCTCGAACCCACAAACCGTGATCATGACCTGAGCCCCTGAGCTGAGCCCTTGGCCTGAGTCAAGGCTTAACCGACCGAGCCACCCAGGCACCCCTAATTTTAATAATATATTTTCTATCATCCAATGTATCTAAAATACAATTTCAACATGAAATCAATATAAAAACATTTTTTAATGTTTTTTATGTATGTTTGGGAGAGAAAGAGAGCAAGCTCACGGTGTGGGGGGTGGAGCAGGGGGCGATAGAGGATCCGAAGTGGGCTCTGTGCTGACAGCAGAGCCCGATGCAAGGCTTGAGCTCACAAACCGAGATTTCGTGACCTGAGCCGAAATCGGACGCTTAACTGACTGAACCGCCCAGGCACCCTGATACAAAAATTGTTGAAGAGATAGTTTTCGTTGTTTTTTTCCCTAAGCCTTCAAAGTCTAGTGTGTGTTTTACACTTCCAGCACATCTCACCACGTTGCAGGTGCTCTGTGGGCTCCTGTAGCTGGTGGCTGCTCTCCATGCTGGACAGTGTACATTTAAATTATGTAACTTTCCTACCTAAAGCCTTTCAATGGCTGCCACTAACATCTAGAAAATACCTAGCTTTTTTACTGCAGCTGATGTAGTCCCATGTGATCTGGCCCCTAGATTAACCTTGTAAATTCCTTTTTGCCCATTGGTCTCCAGCATGCCTGCCCTTTATCCATACGGACCAGCTTTTTTTTTTTCAATGCTAGAAACACTCTTCCCCCAGATCTTTCCATTTTTAACATTTAGGTGTCCATCCAGCAAAATTGCTTTAGAGACGCTGTCTTTGACCTCCGAATACCAAATGATCCTGTGTTGTTATTTTCAGAGCATGAACACTCTGCATTCTGTACCTCAGTGTGAAAGATAATAATAGCACATCTAACTCATAAGGTTGTCGTGAAATTTAAAATGCCTGTGTACATGCATGTGTGCGCCTGAGAAGTAGTAAATACTATGCGGTATTTTCTCTTGCATGAAATTATTTAACTTCTCCATTTATTTATTTAGTTGTCAGTGTCTTTACCAGAAGTAAGCTCCATGAGGACAGGAACTTTGTATCCCCACTACCAGAATGTTCCCTGGGATATGGCAAGCATGCACTCAGTTGCTTTTTTGGTAAATGAATAAAAGAGGGAGGTGACTCAACTTCTGTGTTGCTTGCCTTTAACCTGGAAGTTCTGCTTTATGTTGAGCTTTTGTGGCTAAAAAGAAATCCGAACTTTGCTCTAAAGCAGAAAATAGTTTTATTTGAAATACATAAAATAACGCTTCATGAGTAGATCCTACAGTCTGAAACAGATGTGGCTGGGTGATTGGAAATCACTCACCATCATGTTTACTGGCCTTATTCAACTTTTATCCCTTCAGTGTCCTGTTGGATAAACGTTTTAGGGCCGAGTGTAAGAATTATGGAGTCATCATTCCATACCCGCCGTCCAACCGCTACGAAACGCTGCTGAAACAGAGACATGTCCAGGTATGGTGTAGAAAGCCGGAGCAGAGGTGGGACAGGTTAGAGAGTAGCTATGAAGTTAGTGGGGAGATCAGAGATCAGGACTAAACACTCTCCACCCTGCGTACTGCCCATGTGGGTTTCTGACCGTGGTGGGCATAGCACAGCCACAGAATCGGACAAATAACAAAGAGGCATTGGCATCGCATGGTTCAAGTTCTAGGCTTCTCATTCTGCCCCTAGGACACTTCTGTGGCGTAGTAGCCAGCAGAGTCTTAGTCTTCTTGTCATAAGCTGTGGCTCACTTCTTTCCGTCAGGACTGCCGCTCAGAAATGGGCAAATGCTGGTCTAAGGGAAGGCAGGCTACTTCATGCTTGAAATAAATTGTGTCAGCCAAACCCATGCTAGAAATCACAGTTTGGTCTTGTGAGGTTGGTTTCTGTTAACATTTGACTGCAAATGTAGAGGAAATGCTGCCAGGAGCTCAGAAACATCTCCCTGCTTTAAAATGTTAACATGAGCCAGGCAGGCAAAATACAAGATGCTCCAGCCACCCAACTCCTAAGCCCTGCTGTCAGCCAAGCAGTGGTGAAACGGCCTCTAGGCCATGACCTTTGTGTGCTTGGTACGTGGGCCACGGTGTTTGTGGAGTAGACCCAGGTGAAGGGCCATGGCTGAGAAGTACCCCTGGTAGGGAGGAAAGGGTTACCCTGGCAACCCTGGACATTTTCACTGCTCTGAGAAATCAAAGCAAAACAGAATTATGAGAGAAAAAAGAACGAGCTTCACTTCTGTCAACAGCAGGAGCTCAATGCTTTTCCTTCAACCTCTCAGGAAATTACAGCTATTAGTTACTGATGCAGTCAGAATTAGCTACAGGACATTAAATACTGAGGGCTTTTATGTGCACATGATGGCTGTAAGGGGTCTTAGTTGGTAGAAAATCTCCCAAAAGGGAAATCGAAAAAAATAAAATAGTTAAGAATTAAATTTTAAAAAGTTAAGAATAATCCTTGGGCACCTAGTAAAGTGCAGTGCACACAGCAGGCACTCAGTAATTGTTTATTGCTGTTCGCATAGCATCTGCAATAATCCCCGTGTGTGTGCCCTGATGGAAATTATCCTAAATTCTGTTTTCCATGCTGTAATCAGCCCTTCATTCTCGTGCTTCTACACTCATCCCCATAAGGGCACGCAGGACAGACGCAGGAAGAACCTCAGGGCTAAATGTAGGAGGCCAGCGTTGCATGGGATGCCAGAGCCTGTCCTGAGCCTTTTCCTACAGTATGAATGAATCACATTTTCGCTCCACTGTTTATATTTCAAATTGACAGGAAAGTTGAAAGAATAACACCATGAACATATATATACTCTGTAAGCAGATCCATGATTATTAATGTTGTACCACATTTGCTTCACTTTCTCTTATATACTTATTTTTTCTCTCTCACAAATACAGTAAAAGAAATAAAATGGTTAAGAATAATTATTAGGCACCTACCAAAGTGAAATATATGAATATATGTTTGTGTGTATACATATGTATGTGTGTGTATGTACATATACTTTATATATATATATATATATATATATATATACACACACACACACACATACACACATACAGATATAAAAAGTGCAGATAAATAGTATATAAATATGTGAATAGTGTATGATATGTATACTATAAATACGGTGTATATATAGTGAGTAGTATATAAATAGTAAATAAATATATAATCTATAAATAGGAATTAAGTATATATAATATATAAATATATAGTATATATAATTTATAAAAATATATATTTATATATAACATTAATATATATATGTTTAAATATACATGACCATTCAGCAAAACTGCTTTCGAGAGGCTTTCTCTGACTTCCTTTAAATATATGTACTCTTCTTAGCCATTCGAGAGAGTGATGACACTTCACTCATGAATACCTCAGCATGTATCTCCAAAGAATGAAGACATTGTCTCATAATCAAAATAGAATTATCATACTCAGGAAATTTGACAATACTCTTTTTTGCATAGAGTCCCCATTTGTGCTAGTGATGTCCTTTATGCTTTCAATCCAATTTTCTATCAGTGCATTGCATTTAGTGGTCATGTGCCTGTGAGAACCTTAAGTAACTTTTCTCTCTGTCTCTTCCATGCAGTTGTTGGGTAGATCAATTGACTTAAACAGACTCATTACCCAGCGTATCTCTGCTGCCATGTATAAATCCTTGGACCAGGCCATCAGCCGTTTTGAGAGTGAGGACCTGACTTCCATTGTGGTAAGGGACAGGGGGCCCATGGGAGTTCTGGTCTGGAATTCCTTAGACTTGAAGCCTAGCTACAAGTGTTGTTAACCTAGTACTGAGCTAGTTAAAGAGAAGCAGTGAGTCTCTTTCCCAAATGAATAGAGCAAGAAATGAATGAGAGTCACCTTACCCTCCTGATTGCCTTGAGATCTCTGAGATGACCAATGCTGGGGCACAGCTGCTTTTCCTTTGGGCTTCTACAGAATCAAGAAAGTAGGGGGGTGGTTCTGAGAGCTAGGGAAGGTTGCACAACAGTGAGGGTGTCATGGGTGTGCAGTAGTATAGGTCCCAGAAGGGCTCTGTGCTTGGTTTTTTAATGCTCTGCTGTTGAAATTTTAATGCTCTGCCATCTTGAAATTCTTAATAATTTTTTTAACAAGGTTCCCACTTTTCCATTTTGCACTGGGACCTGCATACTATGTAGTTGGTCCTGATGCACAAGCATGGGACAGGCCTACTTTCTTCTATTAAACAGTAATTTGAGCTACTCTCTGCTGACTCTTCTTCTCCAGGAATTAGAATACACTTGATTGACCAGTCCTGAAGTGAATCAAAGGAGGACTTTAATGCTTTCAAAAGCAGATGAGTGGAAGGAATGAGAGAAATAAAAAATCACCATTAAAGCACCATGGTGACAATTGTTGTGAGCAAAATCCAGCAAAGAATGCTGAAATTAGTAGGCAGAGCTTTGAGAAGAATATTTTATGATTCCTCTTATTATGAGGTCCCTAGAGTAGTAAAATTCATAGAGACAGAAAGTGGGATTTTTATTACTGGGAACTAAGAAATTGGTGTTTAATGGGTACAGAGTTTTGGTTGAGGAAAATTAGTTCTGGAGACAGATGGTGGTGATGGTTGCAAAATAATGTGAATGTACTTAATGCCACAGAGCTATACACTTAAAAACGTTAAAGTGGGGGCACCTGGGTGGCTCAGTCCATTTGGCATCTGACTCTTAGTCTCTGCCCAGGTCATAATCTCACAGATTCATGAGTTCAAGCCCTGTGTCGAGCTCTACACTGGCAGTGTGGAGCCTGCTTGGGATTCTGTCTCTCCCTCTGCCCCTCCACCTGCGTTCTATCTCTCAAAATAAGTAAATAAACATTTTTTAAAAATGCTTAAGATGGTAAGTTTTATGTTATATGTTTTACTATAATTTTAAAAATTACTTGAAAATTAAAAAAAAAAAATGAAGAAGCAGGATTCTTGCACACATTATCTTCTTCAAAATATTTATTAACTCCAGGGAAGAATAATAACTGTACACTGGGGAAACTTGGCAGATACCATCTTAACCAAGCATCAAAGATTAACATCACCAGTATTAACAGATATTCATGTATCCCCTGTTATGTATTCTTCTGTGGTATTCTTGCCAAAATGCATGTTCTCAACCTAATCATGAGAAAATATCAGATAAATTCCAATCAAATCGCATTTAAAAAAAAAGTGAACAATACTTTTCAAAAGCATCCAGATCATACAAGACTGAGATTAGAAAATGTTAGTGATTGAAAAAGACTAAGGAGATATGACAATTAAATGCAATGTGAGATTCTGAATTGAATCCAAAACAAACAAAAGGACCCTCGTGAAGAATCTGATGAAATCTGAATAAGGGGTGTCATTTAGTTAATAGAATTGGACCAATGTTTATTTCCTACTTTTGATAATTATGATTAGGTAAGATGTTAACATGAGGAAATTGGGTCAAGGATACACAGGAGCTCTGCTTTTTCACAACTTTCCTGAAAGTCTAAAATTATTTCAAAATAAAATTTGCTTTCTTAGGTGGACAAAGTGGTTAAAAACAAAAAAAAAAAAAAAACAATAACAACAACAACAACAAAAAACGGTGACTAGGAATGAGCGTCTAGAGTCAGAAAGACCTAGCTAGGGTCCCAGTCCTGGCCCTGCCACATACTAGCTGGGCAGTCTTGGCAAGTTACTTCACTTCTACCAGCCTGTTTCCCCATCTCATGATGGAGGAATATTAGAATTCACAGTATAGCATTTTTATAAGGATGACTCTTTACAGCCTGGAAGAGCTTTGCATAGTACTTTGCACTTAATAAATTATAACTTCTCTAAAAAAAAAAAAAGAAGAAGAGAGGAGCATAGAAATTTGGGGCTAACAATGAAACATTCTCAGAGTGAATTTTCAGTAGCATTTCTTAAGAGGACTTGCCCCTTAAATGCTCACCTAAGTCCTGGGTCAGTGACTTTAAGAGATTATAATATAGCGTATGTTCTTCTGGGAGATCTATCTTAAGAAATGGATTTTACGAAAGGAAAGAAGGAAGGAAGGAAGGAAGGAAGGAAGGAAGGAA